CTGCGCTTACAGCTCTTGTTGACACAGCAAGGTACAAAAAGAGTTTTTCATTAAGCTTGGGAGCAGAAGTACAGGTGGGGATACAAGATATGTCTTGAGTTCTTGAAAGGCTGCTTCACATTCTCGCGTCCACGCGAATCGCGTGCCGTTCTTGAGCGTTTGGAAGAAAGGGGCGCATTTATCAGCTGACCTTGGTATGAATCTTCCCAGCGCCGCTATCTTTCCGTTCAAGGACTGTATCTCTAGCGCGCTCCTCGGCGCCCGCAGTTGCTGGACGGCGGTTATCTGCTTTGGGTCAACCTCGATTCCGCGCTTAGTGATCATGAACCCAAGGAACTTTCCTGCTTCTGCTCCAAACACGCATTTTAGAGGGTTCAAGCGCATACTGTGCCTGCTCATCGCCTCGAAAGTCTCGCACAGATCTTCCAGGTGTGAGTTGCCCGCTTTGGTTTTGACGATGAGGTCGTCCACGTAAGCTTCAATGTTCCTCCCGATTTGCCGCGCGAACACAGAGTCGAACATTCTCTGGTAGGTCGCGCCAGCGTTCTTCAAGCCGAACGGCATTCCAACGAAGCAGAAGTTCCCGAATGGCGTCATAAACGCCGTCTTTTCTTCATCCTCTCGTGATATCGGGATTTGGTGGTACCCCGAGAACATGTCCAGAAACGATAGCGTTTCATGATCCGCGGTGGCGTCAATCGGCTGGTCTATCCGCGGCAGGGGGTAAGGATCCCCCGGGCACACCTTGTTCAAGGTTGTGTAGTCGACGCACATGCGCCACGCACCAGAAGATTTTTTCACTAAGACCACATTCGCCAACCATTTCGGATATTTCACTGGTCGGATCAACCTTGCCGCGAGCAACCGCGCCACCTCCTCTTCTATGGCTTTTAACTTATCGCCCGTAAAGCCCCTGCGCACCTGTTGTCTCGGTTCTACGTTCGCAGGGACCGCGAGAGAGTGTTGCGCTACTTCCCTTGGCACTCCCGGCATGTCTTCCGTGCACCATGCGAACAACTCTTTTTATTCTTTCAACAGTGCAATCAGCGGCTCAACCATGTCGCCAGGTACATGGGTTGAGACGCGGATCTTCTTCTCAGGTTCGGCGGGGTCCAGTGCCACCTCGAAATCAGAATCCATCGATTCTGGACGCGGCTCTTCTGCCCGCGTGTCGACGATATTGGTTTGGCGGGGCAATTCTTCCCTCCGCGGGGTCGCCCACGGGGTTCCTCGGGCTTCTCCGATCCCTGCCTTGGTAGGGAATTTGACCTTTTGGTGACACGTCGACGGCAGTGCCATGAACTTGGCGAGAAACGGGCGTCCCAGGATGCCATTGTGGTGGGATTTGTAGTCGACGATGGTAAACTCGATTTGCTTGGAGACCCGCGGCTCTTGATCCCCGATCACGACGGGAAGGGTGACCGCGCCGATTACCGCGACCCTCGTTCCGGAGAAACCGACCAGGTTTCCCTCCGCTCGTCTGATCAAGCGTGGATCAATGTCCATTTGGTCGAGGGTGCTTTTGAACAGTATATCTACCGCGCTCCCCCCGTCGATCAGAAGGCGATTGATTTTGCAGGCGGCTACTAGCGCGGTAATGGTCAGCGGGTCTTCTGATGGAGTTCCTTGGGGAAATTCTGAGTCGTCGAAGCTTAAGTGACACTTCGGGCGTACCTCCGACGACGCTCATTCCATGGCGCGCTCGCGCTTGGTCTTCTTGGTTGGGCGGCTCCCCTCAACCGTCACCACCCCGATTTCCTTCCGCACTAGGTAAGCGCCGGTTGCTTCATCATATTCCGCTTGCGGGGGAGGCGGAGGGTTTTCACGCGGCTCTTTCTGTCCTTCTGCCCCCTGAACAAACTGCGACAGCAGTCCTCTTCGGATGAGCCCCTCTATTTCGTACCTTAGTTCCCTGCAGTCCTCCGTTGAGTGACCCGTTTCCCTGTGGAACTTGCAATGTTTGTTCGGGTTGCGCAGGTGAGGCGCGGCTTTGACAGGCGCAGGCCAATTGATTTTGTATCCCTTCTCGCGGAGGACATGGAATACGTTCTTTACGGAGTCGTTGAGCGGTGTGTAATTGGGCATCGCGTTCTGCTGACGCCTATCGGGGGAACGCCTCCGCGGAACTTGTTCTGGTGGAGCGAGTTGCCTCCTGGATCCGCTGTGAGACTGCAGTAACTGTTCTCGGGGCATCGGAAGTTGTTTCCGCGTTTGGTCTTCCCTGGGCGGCTTGGAAGGCTCAAAACGCCTGACAGAACCTGCGCCCAGAGTCTCCTCCAGCGTGATGGCCTTTTCGATTTTAGCTTCGAGCTCTGTTGACAGCGTCACTGGCCTTTTTGCTATGGCGCGCTTGAGCTCCATGCTGGTCGTAGCGTCCATGAGGTGATGGGCGGCGGTTTCGGGAGTGAGGTCGCGCACCGCCATAGCTACTCTTGACCATCTGGCATAGAACGCGCGTAGGCTCTCCCCGTCCTTCTACCTGATGTCGATCAAGGCCTTGAGGTGTAGGGGTCTCCTTTTTTGTGACGCGAATTTGGTAGTGAAGAGGAGAATGAACTCCTCAAAGGAGCGAATGATTCCGTTGGGAAGCCGGTTGTACCAGTCGAGGCATATGCCGGAGAACGTTGAAGGGAAGGTCCGACATAGTGCCGCGTTGGAATTGGTTTGGAGCTGCATTCTGAGGCAAAACGTGCTGACGTGGTCCTCTGGGTCCGTCGTCTCGTTATACGTGGGGAGGGCGGGCGACATTCCGCTTAGGTGCTCTGCCATTATGTCCGCGCTCAGCGGTTGATGGAGGATTCTCCTTGGGGGGTGAGGGCGGTATTGTGGAGAGAGATGCTGCTCCAGGAAACTGAGGTCCGCCCTAGGGCACGGCTCCGCTTGGGGTGTCTCGTCCGCGGGCATGGCGACCGGGATACTTTGCGGTGGCGCGACTTTCTCCGCGGTTGCGTCGGGCGCCGTTAGTGGCGCGTAACTGGGCTGCGCAGACTCTTTGCTCATCATGAGAGCGATAACCTGGTTCATCTTTTTCTGCATGTCAGCAATGACTTCGTTTTGCTTAGCCATCTGTTGTCTCATCTCCTTGGGCGTCAGCTCGGGCTCTTCTTCTTCAATAAGTACCGCGTTGAATTTACTGGTCTCCGCGTGCGTCCTTGGGTTCGTCATAGCTTTTATGGGTGTCGTTTCGCTGGGCGAGTTGGTGTTGTGCTCCGTCGTTAGTTGGTTTTCCATCGCTTCTCTACCAGCCCCACGGTGGGCGCCAATTGTTTGAGCCTAACTGAGTGTAGGAGTTAGACTCGCTAGGGAGGAGGGGGGGTAGAGCAAGCGATGCGTTGTGGTAACTTGTTTCTGATGAGGATTCTCAGTAGAACGAGAAGAATACAGAGGAAATTAGTTAGAGAGAGAAGTGAGTGTTTATTAGTGAGAGAATCCAAAAACCGATCCCCTACCTACCGTAGTAAATGCTCCTTTTATAGTACATTACGGTAGTGGGTATTTAATGCGACATGACTACAACGTGTGTCAGGGTCTTAGGCCATGCTTTTAAGCCATAATTATTCCTAGGACCTGACTCACGACATGACCTTTCCTTCGTAGACTGCGGCGCCATCTATACAATCTTCGTTTCCTGTCTTAGGCAGGGCAGAACGACGCCAGCTTGATCAAGGCTGAAACGGCGCTGGTTTTGGGCTAGATAAAACGACGTCGGCCTGGGCTGCATCCGAGCCACATCCCCAACAGTAAGAATGCAAAATTGAAAGGAATAAGGAAAAACGACAGAGGTGGACGATATCGTTTGTAAATTTATTATAGTATGAATTTAAAGGAGATCAGAGGGAGAAACACAGTGAATGATATCGTCACTATGATATCGTCAACTCAGGTACGTATACCATAAAATAAAAAAATTACGTACTTATGAGAGATCATCGATGGCACTCACGTAATTTTTCGTGTTTCCGAAGCCGTGCAGTACCAGAGGCAGGACTCGCCGGAAAAACCTCCTGCCGAAACCTAAATTGGCAGGCGATTTTTTAACGGTATTTTAACTTATGAACCACATATTTCAGCATTAAAAAACACGCTAACTCTAGTAACCGATTGAGTTGAGTTAACCCTGGTTGCTCGCCGCTCTGCATCACTGAATGCAACTGTGCAAGTGTAATTGTAATGTTACTGTTGGGAGTTGGGACGGTTAATTTATTTATTGGATGCTCTCATTGATGAAACTCGTGAAAGTTGAGGAGAATGGGGTTGGGGCGCCGGAGATAGACAGCTGTCGACTGTCGTCGGCCACGGCAGTCGACTTGGTTGACTTTGCTGACCTCTCCTTTTGCTATATATTCATTGAAAACCGCACATAATAAGCTAAAAGCCTATGTGCTCGATACATATATATCTATGGTGTTAATTGTCATCGCCATTAACTCACCGCCACCACTACTAGTAGTCCACTACTAAAGAAGTTGAGAGTATATTTCTAAACATGCTTATCTACATGTTCATCACCATATAATCAAACACAATATTTTGTTAAAATTTCATAGGTTGGATAATGGTTTGATTCGGTCCATATGAAACTGGATGTCCTGTCTGTTTACATCGAAAATGGAATGATGTGTATACCCAAGTTTTCTAAGTAAACAATTCATCTGAAAAATGGTTAAGCCTGTAGTTTGTCGATAAAATTAGAATTTCACAGCAGGGACCGATGAAGGGGTCGGGAACTAAAAAGAAGAAGTTATTAGAGCATCTCGAGATTGAGACGATCGGGGTTCAGAGGAGGGAGGCCGATTATTAATAGCATATAAGGTTATCACTTTTCACTATTTACTCGCTTGATACATACACATTTCATGACCCATATCAAATACTTAAAGAGGATGAAACCCTTATGGAATAATTACTCATCGACACCGTAACCGTAATTCGATCCATACCAGATGAAATTGACATCAATTCACATGAAAACAAACTTAACAAAGCATGAAGCGTAGTTTCGTAACAATGTATCAAAGCTCCCAATCTCCAAAACACTTATTTTATTGGTGCGATGTCATGATTCTGTAATCGATACAATTACACATTCATCCAGTTGGGCAAGGCTCCTATATCACAAATCGCACTAACCACTTTACAATTCCACTTGCAATACACACGAGAACGCAAAGTATTCTACATTGCATGCTTGCCAAACCAACCCTAACTTGTCCCTACCCTATAGTCACAAAAGATAGTTGATTGCAAAACTAATCTTAGGGTCAAAGGAAACTCGAGAGAAGGGAGAATTAATGGCTATAATTTCTTTGTTTTTGGGGTGGCGGGAGTCATTAATTGATTTGGATTGTCACTATCTGGAGGAATGAGAAAGATTTGCTTAAAGTATGGAAACGGCGGGGCCACTTTCCTGTCAAGCTTTAATCAATAACTCTGAAGCTGATCTTTCACCACTTGACACATTGACTAGCAATATTGTATTTGGTTGTTCATACTTCACTTGTCCTTTATGTTTGGTTTTTTTTTACTAAATACTGTTCCATGTTCTAGTCCCAGTTGATTGTTCTTACCATCGCAAGTAGTAAAAAGGAAAAGTCTGATATATATATAGTTAGTCCATGATGGCATGACTAATCCAAAATCGAGACTTTTATTAGCCACCTTGTTAGCAAATGAGAGATATCATGGAGATTAACCTATATCGGTCAAACAAACTGATAAGAAAATAACAGTTCTTCCATTTACATATATAGAATTTGTAACTTTCTTATAGAATTGTTTCATTGTAAATAAACGTTGGCTGAAACAAGTGCAACAAACAAATCAAAATAGTTTAACCTCTGAATACTACAGAAGATATGAACATATCTCATAATGAAGCTGCTCACATAATGGCCCATGCACCAACAAGATTGGGATGAGCGGGTGATTTCGCTGTATAGACCGCCAATATATTTAGTTGATCGGATTAAGCTGGATGATGTAGCAGCAAATTCTGATTAATGAATGGAATACATGTTTATGTAAAAAAAAAAACATCTCTCAATCGAGTAATAAGGAGTTGTTAAGTCAAACAATTACCGGTGTATATTGGGATTTCCCCCCAAAATTTGGCACCAAAATGTGAGAAAGTAACATAATAGTAATATTGTTCATGTTACTTGTTAGATTAGCATGCCAATTGCACAAACCCATCCTAATCAGTACTAGTAGAAAAACATGAGATATATGCTCACGAACAACTCATTTGCACCCCCGACTCCGTCTATTACATGTACTTATATTCGATTCTTTCTCGCCATTATATAATTAACTATACAAAAGTTTACATAAACTTATTCATTATAAATTTGAATGGATACTTTTGTACTTAAAGACTCTATCATAAACAATATGAATGAAAACAGGAGCAAATCCTCCATGACATAAATTATAGAACGACTTCGATATTAGTTATTCCAAACTTTAACTCGCCAGCTTGTTAAATGTCAAAGTTGTGCAATCACTATGTCTGCTGCTGCTGCCCCCCAAACTTTAATGACCATTACTGTAATTGACCTCATGGCGTGGGAATGTGTGAAATTACTCGTAACTGCCTTTGTGACGTGTCAGCAGAACTCCTCACTCCTTCCTCGCCTTAATTATCTTCATCATCTTCTTTTTAGCTATTTATATGCAACAATTCCGAAGCAAAGCTGCCACTGCCAGTTCTTCTCTCCCACCACTATCTCTCTCTCTTCGCTCCACTTCACAAAAACAACGAAAAATGAAGAGAAATTCTTGTACTCCTCTGCTTTTTCTTCTCCTTGCTTTCCTATTGCTGTCTCGTTCCTTTTCTGCATCTGCTCGTCTCCTCCTGGAAGCAGAAACCTCATCACAGACCAAAGGTAATAACTGGATTCCCTCAATTTTTTACTTTTTCCTTTTGATTTGGTTTCATGGGGAGTCAAGAAAACTCCATGCTTTTTTAAGTCTCTGTTTTGACAAGGAAACGACTTGTTATGACCAGTAGGTAGCAGTGATGGCGGTGGTCAGACGGAGTCGGTGAGAAAGGAAGATCAAAAGACTGCGGCGGCCGATCACTTTGCTTCTGCAGGTTCACTCAAAGAAGAAGACTTTTCCACGGTAAGCGATTGATTAGAGTTTAAAAACAGAGTACAAAAATTTGACTAATATGCTGACACCGTTGGATCGGTTTGGGTTTTTTCGATCCAAAGGTCTCAGCACACGCGGGTTGAACCGAGCTCAATAAGTCGAGTTGCTGAAAGAAACGTTATGGTTTTTTTTTCCATTTGATTGATTGGCAGCTGATGGGAGCAGAGGAACTGGAGAACGCAGAGGGAGTTTGTGAAGAGAACGATGAAGATTGCCTGAAGAGAAGGATGGTCGCAGAGGCTCACTTGGATTACATCTACACTCAGCACCACAAGAACCCTTGAAAATTGAACAACACATATAGTTATTAATTTTATAGCTTTTGTTTTTGTTTTCCTTGGCACCCCCGAAAACCAATGTTCATAGTTTTATAATTATTAGTCAGTTTGCAGAATACAGTGAGCTTAGTATTATAAATATGGTATATAAATTCGTATTAGTAAGAAAGCAAAATACGGATCTTCTAGTTATCGATTAAGATTTAAGACGCATACGATTCGAGACTATTCCAGCTAGGGGTGTCCATTCGGTTTCGGTTTTTCGTGTTTACCCGAAACCGATCCGATTGTATACATTTACGGTTTTTCAGGTTCGGGTTTGTTTCGAGTTTCGGGTTCGGTTTTGCTTATCAGTTTTTCGGGTTCCGGCTAAAAACCTCCAATGAATAGAACTCAACCCGTATTCTTAGGCATTCGGGTTTTCGGGTTTCAATTTTGCTTTAACCGAATCCAAACCCGATAAGAAATTTTCAAATTTCGGTAATCGGAACCCGCAAGTCCTTATCGGATTCAGGTTCGGTTTTAGTGGTTTTCGGTTTCAGGTTTTCGAGTTTTTTAACGATTTGGTTCAGGTAACCGAACTCGACCCAAACTGACACCCCTAATTCCAGCCGTGACTGCCCACCATATTAAATCAGTAGAGTACTAGGGAAGAGGAATTCCGACAAGGAATCCATAGGTTTGTGTACCTTACGCAAAAAGGAATTTATAATAATGAATTTGGTGATGGCCATCCACCATATTAAAGTAGGGATCTGATTCCTTTCCTGTCCTTTCTTCTTGAACTGCAACTCTTTTTCCCTCGGATGGCAAACACTATGATATAACCTCATAATGATCACCGCAATAGCGTGGAGTAGAGCTGAAGCTGAAGATTTCATGATGCTGATAGTGAAAACATTGACATCAAAATATATATACATTTATAGCGCTGGAAAACAAAGCCTACTACAACAGTCACAGTCCCTGTATGTAGTAACCAAGCACATATGAAAAGAAACATTTTCTTTTTTCAATCACAATAGGAGCTCTGTTTAGGAAGGTGGTACGGAACAAAATCGTTATGATGCATCAGCATTCGAAGTTCTCCTCGATAATCCAGTACCAGAAACAGAGATTCATCCATAACACAGACATGTACGACAGAAATGAAAGTTTTTAGGTACGACGACAGACAAGTAAACGAGCAGACGGGGACAATATTTCAGTACTGCAGCACTCAACTTCTACCCGAATGGCGTCCCAAGTGTGGTATAGTATCATCAAGCGCACACTTCGCTTCAGCAACATTTCCAAACATCATAGCAAAAACAGGGAAAGGAAAGACACAGATCAAACACACACATTAGTGAACACGAGATGCGGCAAAAAGCTACCTGATAGCTTTATAATATCATTTCTATTACGGAAGGGAAGAAGGTGGGGGGTGAAAAGACGCAGGATGAAGAAAAACGAAGGCTTTTTCGTCGACACCATTTTTGGTGCAGAGTCTAAACTAGCTGAGGCATGCACGAATATTTTTTTAGCAAAACTTATCGCATGTGATGATACACCTGCATTTCTGATTTCTCCAAGCAAAGCTGCTAGTGGTGGATTGGCAGTTGAAAACACGCCCCTTCTCCACCTTGCATTTATGAATCGATTTCCTGGTAAAACAAAGAAGAGACTTAATGAATCTTCCCATGCTAGAGCTCTATTCCTAAGGCAGACAAAAAGACCAATACAAGATGCAGTATCAAAGACAAATTGAACCTACACAAACCACCATTAGCGACACAATGAACAAATTAATAACAGCTCATGACACTCTAATAACCACCTAATTCCATGGAAATGTAACTACCAAGAACAGGAATTTCACTGCCAATGTTTCTTCACAGCAAGAAGAAAAGAGATTTCGATAAAAATACACATATATTGACTTACCATTTTCACGCTATTCACAAGCCCCAACTCGCTGGATGAACCTTCTGAGCGACAGTGCACATGAACTAGGGGGCCATTTCTTTGTTCACCATTACCTGGAGGAACTTGTGTCATGTGCACAGCTCCTCTAAACATCCACCGATTCACTGCAGGACTATAATAGTCTTCAAACAGCTCGCCGCAAAAGATGCACACACACTGCTCTTCATCTGCAGGAGCCATTGGTTCATCATCTCTATCCACCATTTCACACTCAGGGCCATCCATGGGAGATGAATCTACAGCTGCAGAAGGAACAACAGCGTTTGGAGAAACCCAATCCTCTATTTGAGCATACCATCTCTTATCATCAGAAACAATCTTCCTTTCACTGTGCCACTCTAAATGTTTGTCAAGCCCCTCTTTCTGTTTAAGACGGAGACCACATGCATCACATTGGTGAGGAAGGTCATTGAAAAGGGAATCAATGACAGCTGCATGAAATTCTCGGATTACATCCGATTTAAACTTCAATCCAATGAGACTCTCAGTTTCCACTGGTATAGACTGAGGCAAACTGACGGAATCTTTTGCCTTCGGCATCACAGGGGTAGACTTAACAAGCAAATCGGCATGGCTTTTTGCATCAGTTTTCTTAAGAGATTCTTTACGCGCCGTGGGAGTAGACTCTGACAGAGAAGAAACTGGGGCGGCTTTAGGTGCTATGGTACTTTTCTTCTGAATCTCTGGCTCAACGGTGGTCATCTGAGATGATGATGACGGAGGAGAAGCTTCTGACCTTATAAGACCTTTCACAAGTAAAGAGCTCAAAAGGTTTGAAATTGGATTCGACGCCTTATCTCCCACCTTTGAGGTCTGTATTATAGGAGCGACTTGTGCAACCTGTTGCTGCTTATCCTTCTTATGAGGGAAACTTGAGGTAGATGACTTGGAAGACGCAGAAGTAGCCATAGGCACAGAAGCAACTTGGGTAGGAAGGGGCGCATTCGGAAGGGGAGGTTTAGTAACTGACTTTGATACGACTTGCCCACTACTTTGCAAGCTCTTCTTAGCCAAGCCAGCAGCAGTTATATTTCCCAGAATTCCACTCTTCATAACAGCTGCTAATAAACTACTTGTGCTCTGTTGGCCTGAAGTTTCCGTAGTACGTTGAATGGATTGGTCTGATTCGGAGCTTCCTGATGTTGTTGGAGCCCCAGCCTTCCATTCATGAGGTGGGTTTTGCTTCTGAAGCGAAGCAGAAGCTTCAGACAATTCTTCAGACAATTCTTCAGACCGTAACCTGTTTATATTCCCCAACTGGACACTTTGGGGGAGCAAATTTTTTGAAAATTGATGCACCTTCTGGTGGGAAGGAGGTAAGATCTGGGAGTAGTCATGGTCAGCTGCATTTGGCAATTGCCTACTAGGAGGATAGCGAGATGCAAATGAGGAACTTGGTGCGGCTTGATGTAGTGATTGCTGAGATGGTGACGAAGTCCCAATGGAAGGAAGTCTCTGTTGGCCTACGGCTCCAGTAGTAGGGATAACCCCTAATCCCGAGGCTCCAGCATGAGGGGAGCCAGCACGAGGTCCTGCTACAATCTTGGATGCAGAATTTGTCCTGGAAGGCAACCCACCATGGGCAGCTATATTGCCATCTGCGTAACTGGGATTAGTGTTGGAACTGGAAAACATAAGTTCGTCCATTGAGGTTGCTTCTTGCAATCTCCATGACGAGGACAAACGGCTCCCAAGTTCTCTCTGTTCAGTAGATAATGAATCTGAGGACGACTCTCTGTCAAACCGAGACCCAACATCATGCCCAATTTGAGGCCTTCTCACACGATTTTCAAAACCCTGTCATCAAATTTGAAAATTAAGAAAAAGGAAACATAAATTAAAAAGCAGAGAGCTGGAAGAGTAATGTAAATCATCAACATTCACCAATTTCTCAGGGTCATTGGGAGTCCAGGTATCCTTCCTTGAGATATCAGAGATGGTTGTTACATCCTGATCAGGCAATCTGGAGTGCAAATCCCACATGAACTCCTCTTCCTCGGAGTTTTTCCAGTTTGTAGAAACACTGTTTCCCCTTTTACGGGAAATGCTGTCTGTTGGCTGTATATGCGCAGCTTTAGTTGATTTGGGGATCAAATGCTCTGGCACTGCTTGCTTCATTCGGAAACCGTTTCTTGGATCAGATAACTTCTCAGAAACACCACTTGCCACTCCATACCAAGGTTTGGGCTGTGCTTGTTCAACAGCCCTTGCACCTAAGCGCCCAGATCCCAAGATTGAGTTCCTTGGAGCATCTGTACCATAATCCAAGTCTCCATATAATAGACCTACGTTCTTTTCTTCAATGGAACCACTTAGTGATGTTATCTGGCTTCGCTGTAGGTTCTTGTAAACCAAAGATGTTAAACTTACAATTGAATAGAATGGATCAGTATGCAATCAGCTTTGAAAAACAAAAGCAAGGATATCTGAGTTTCCTACATGGATTTTAACGGCAGAATCTGTCCATGGTCGTGAACCTACGATACCCGAAGTTCTCTCTGGACTTTCAATATCCTCTGGTGAATCTGCAATTGGTGCCTTCATCAGAAAGCAGAAGAAAAATTAGTCATATATTTTGAGCTTTAACATCATGCAAAGCATCTCCTTGAAGAAATGTATAACAAAAGAAATATCAAGAATGAAACATGTTTACAGCGATGGCAATACAATGAGAAGCAAAACGAGACACAAAAGTCCACTTACCCTGCCTGACTGCTGAAGGCGCTGCCTTTCCAAGTATTTTGGATTAACATGAATGCTATGCTGTGGCCGTTGTGATAGTGTATCTGCCCTAGATGTCACAGTGGAAGAAGATCCGTTCACTGCAGAAGAAAATCCAAGGTCCTTCTCAATCATCTTCAGCGTTTGGAGAGGGAAGACTCCTTTCCAAGTTCCAAAAAGATGCCGCATGCTGGACTGAATAGGAGGCTCAACCTGCCTATATGCCTTGCAGAACACCTGAATCGCAAAGCAACATATGTCACAGACTAACAATCAAGGACACCAAAAGCATAGCATGTCCCATTATAATGGCAACCAGAAGGACCATCGTGAAGCATGTGAATTAATTTTACTCCTCAACTTATAAACTAGTTAGCAGAAGGACCATTATACAATATTGGATTCATTTAGGAAAAATCTAACCTCTGGTAGTCTCGCTGCAAAATACTTTATGTAGTCTCTCCCAATATTTTTGACAATGCTGTCTAAAAGATAAAGTGATGGCAGCTTCTGGTCACTTGGAACCTGCATTTAGTCATGGGATCAGATATGACATGTCACCTCCTTAGTATGAGTGAAGGACATGAAGCTGAAGTAAGAGAAAACCAATGACACAGCAAGGCTACAATCTAAAGAGATACAAGGGTAAACACAGTAACTGATTCCTTCTGCCATGACACCTTCATACCATATTTCAAAACAAAAAGAACATAACTAACTGTCAACTGAACCACCAAGAAGATATACTACAAACAAGAGATGATTGAAATGAAACCACTCAGATTCTAATCAAATATAGTACAATTATCAAAGTCACTTCTCCTTCTGCCATGCTCTTGTTCCACGCTCCTTACTTGATCCAAAAGTTATCAACATCAATCAAGTGCCTTCATATTCAAAGGTCGCCCTGGCAGAGCTATCTCGAAGAAAAATAAAATTTTCTACCAAAAAGAAACAAGAAATCTTCACTAATTTTTTTCGAACCAAAATTTCTGTAGCAATCCAAGATAAGACATCCAAGCAAGGGTAACCTCAAAAGGCAGATTGAAGGAGGATAAGCATAAACTGATAGTATCAGATAGATCGAGTATGGTGCTTTGTTTTATCATGAACACAACCAACCTTAAATTTGGCTGCTTAAGCTAAGAAGCAATCAGATGAAGGACCAAGTCAGCTTCAACACATCTACAACAAATTAAATGGATCCACAGGAATGGTGTTTTTATCTCAAAATCATTTCTCATTAATCAGGAGTTACACCGCCCATGAAGAATGGAACATCATATCTCTACCACTTCCCTTCCAAACTAAACAACAACAGTTCAAATTGGTGCCAACAGCCAAAGTATAAAACAAAAACTGGGTTCACCTCAATAATGTTATTGCAGACAGTTGCAGCAATGCCCTTCGCGGAGAGCACATTCTCCCCAGCAATTATAGTCAAGTTAGTAATAATCGGCTTGGAATTAAAAGTCAGCTCCGCTAGAGCAGTCTTGTACTGGTTGACCAGCTCCGAGTACTGCTGCACAGGCTGAGGGTGGTAGGCACCGTCTCCCCTGTCATTCCCCTCCGAGTCCCTATCGCCACCGCCGGCAGCCCTGTATCTCGTTGGCGGGAGTGTAGCCGCCGGCGGCTGCCGCTGAACGAAAGGCCGGCCACCGTTAGAATTCGATTGGTCCTCAGCTAATCGGGGCTTCTTCAGTCCCGGTTCTCTTGATCTGTCGAGTGATCTACGCATACTCTCCATTTCCATTAACATATAAAAAAAATCAACCCCGCCAAAAAGAAAAAAAAAATCAAAACCCTAACAGTTTTTCCTCATTCCCACTCTTTATTTATCGTTACATCGCAATCCCTAATCGCCATCGAAGCTAATCAAAACCAACACGGCGTACAATGAAAAGGAGACGAAAAGAAAGCTCGTCACGAATCCGAAAAGGAAGAAAACAAGCACTAGAGCATAAATTTACAGAGCTGCTTGCGGTACATACAACGGGAGAAAACTGAAAGGAAAGCTTATGAAGAGATGGATTTCTCTGAACAACTCCGGAATTCCGTTACAGAGACTGAATCGAATTTATTACAGGCAAACGAGAGAGGAGGGAAGAGAGTGATGGAAGCTCGCTCTAGAGGGAGACGAGCTGAGCGTTTAATTGAATCGAGAGAAGACGAAGGACGGAATAAAAAAGGAAGAGCCGAAGAGCAACTTGTTAGTGATTGGCCCGATGGGGAAAAAACAATTATTAATTTTTAGGGGCCACCAAAGAAAAAACAAAAAAATCTGTGGGAATAATTTACGAATTAGTACTTCAAAGTTTGTGGTGTTTGTTCCTGATACCTGATAAACCCGATAATCTCCATTTTCTATGTATTTTTCATATATCATTTCTCATATGATTAAGAACTTGAGTGTCCAAGTATAGATCAATAACTGTATCCGAAAAGATCGTACAAAATTTTCATCGTCCCCCGCCTTTCTAAACACAGGTCGAGCATTACCATCATGGCTTATTGATCAGAACAACAAAACATTACAAATCATGTCTCCAGATTGGACTCGGACGCACTTATAAGTCTGCCATGTCAAAAAACTAAAAACAATCTCCTGCTTAACCTTCTCTCTCCATCATGGATCCAGTACAACTTGAAGAAGGAAACACTTATCGTTGTCCAGGAATCGAAATTCAGATTCTACAGACTACACGTATTACAGCAACAGAACTCTTCCATCATCAACCACCTCCAGTCTGGTACATAAGACTTCAGTTGTAGAGCCAGGTGATGGAAATAAACACAAATCTAGTTTCTCGTCTTTCCGAGAGGTGAGGGTTCTGGTAAAAGATACTCAAAAAGGCTTCTATATAGGTGAGCTCAGAATCAGTGGCAGCAGGACTGGAGAGTAATAAAAGCTAGTTCCGTAGAGATTGGCTCGCTCACTGCATCAGAGGAAGTAAGGATCTCATTTCTGTTCCATTTCCATTGCATACATAATACACTTTCTTCCACTTATCGTCAGAGAAGGCTTCTGGATTTATCAATCTTTGCCTGCCATGAACATCAAGAGAGAAATTATCACTTGAGATATACATAGGGAAGGAATCATAATGGCTGGACATGCGAGACAGTTCACCGGCTGCTTACCTAAGGTAGTAATGGCACACGGTAGCTGCTTCATCTAAATTATAGCGGGGCAGGTTAATGCGAGCATCCACAGGAACATCTGGCAAGTCTTGACGTAGCTTTCCTACTGCCGTTGAATGAGAAAAAGCTCCCACCATCATATCATTATCCATCATCGACCTAAAAGCATTTACCTGCACGAACACAATAAAATCTCAAGCAGTGTACTGAGAAGTATAAAAATTTCACAACAAAACTTCCAGAAAGGGAGGCCTATCATATCTTGGTATCCCGCTACGCGAACTTAAAGAGCAAGTATGGAGTAAATACTGACCGTTGCAACCTCTTTGGCATGCACTGGTCTGGTTGAGTGCAAAGTCATTGGCTCTTCATACTCACTGAAGGTAAACCAACTATTGTACTGGAAGAAAAGCAAGAGCAACAAGCATGTGAGCCCATTCTGTACTCAGGTGTAACAAGATTCTGAAAGCAAGCACAAGAATACAATCCCTACTTGATCAATTGCAAAGAGCACAGGAACATCTTTCACTAATGATAGCTCTTTTCTCAAACGAACAACTACTCCAACTGCAGCATGAGAATGCTGGATTCCTATTTGAGCCAGGTCAAAAAGACTTGAACCTTCAGGAACTGGCATGGAGTCAATTCCTTTCAATAATCCAACACCTGCACCTTCTCCGAGTGGAATAGGATCAAACAAGTGACAATGTAGCTGCTTCAGCTGTGATTCGTTGTATTTCAAAAAGTCCTACACAAAACCCACAATTTCATAAGTCCCTAACTCCTAAGGCATCATGCAACTAAAAAACGGTTCCAGAGCAGATATCACAAGACTAAAACCAACTCGTAAAAGCGCAAGATCTTAGGGAGATCCCTAACATGGAGCTACTGGCTTTACAATCTTACCTTCAGAATTTTTTCTGCCTGAAGCGGAGTGTCCCAAAGTCCAGTGTGTGGGTTCTTGTAGAAATACCCACCATGAGTCCATTCCCATCCTCTAGGGGCATAAAACACTAGCCAACCTTCGTCACGAGCCCAATGGACAAGCATTGCCAATGCAATACTCTTGCCACAGCTTAAAGGGCCATCTAATACAATTTGTTTTCTAGCTTTAACACCTGGAAAACAATACTCCGTCCAAATCACCAGTTCTCTAAGATCATCATTTTACATAAGATAGTTCATCATTCATCGAGTTTCGATTTAAGTGTATCTTGCTAAAACAGGTAAATAGAGCAATGAAATGCACAGCTGAAGAACAGTTAGCCAAGAAACTCGCACCTTTACCATCCAAAGGAGGATCAACAATACGCCTGAAGTTATCACGAAGGTCCAAGAAACTCTCTCGAACAATCAAAGACTCTCGCATTGACTCCTCAAACTCCGTCACCATCCCCTTCGGTAACCCTTCAGGCAACACCGCATTCAGTGCCTCCTTACTTGAGACAAGAAATGAAGAATCCTTAGTTCAGAAACTTCAGCCAAAGACACTATTACCATAATTCCCCCACCAACCATTTGAAGTCAGGGGACAGATAAGTACCTGAATTTGAAGTAGGAGCAGGCGTCTTTGCGAGTGAGCCGAGACAGAGTGGGAGTGGAAGTGAAGAGTGGGCGACCGTTAGGACCCAAATCAAGAGACGGTTTCTTCTCGTCCTCTGCCAGGAGACGAGACCTCAAAGCTCTTTCATCAATTACACCTCGGTCTAGCTCGGCGGCGGCGCCACCGGGGCCAGATTCATCGCCGGGCTTCTTCGCGCCGGATTTCTTCTGAGGCTTCTGGCTCGATTTCGCTCCGGCTTTCGCAGAGTAACATCTCAAAGTATAGAAGGAGCAACGGTGATCCCATGGGAGAAAAGCCCCAGCCTGCGATCTCGCTGCTGGAGTTCTGAGGATGCGCCATAGAACCATCTCCACTTTCTTCTTCTTCCTCTCTTTCGCAGTTTCTTCTTTGGGGTTTTTCTGAGAACTTCAAGATTTTAGGAATCCTTTTGCCCCATATTACAGGCCCATGAGCCGTAGTTGGGCTTTTTCACAGGCCCATGATTTTTTGGGCCTTAAACCCTACAATTTCTAATAAAAACCCTAGTACCTCTCTCTCCTCTTCCTCTTCTCCTCTTCTCCGTCTACAATCTTTGCCCTGCAACTGAGGTTCCCGCGAAAGGAGCGAACAAATTTCTGCAAGTTCGTTCTTCTCTTGTCTCGTAAATTCGTAATCATGATGAAGATAAATACTCCGAAGAAGAAAAGGGTCCTTCGGGAACTGGAGAAGCGAGCGCCAAAGCTGGTAACTTTTGGAAACTTGTTTTCATCTTTTTCTTAGTATCCTGAATGTTCGATTTATGTGAAGTTTCTGCAGATTACTGAGCTTGTTTCGTTTTGCTATTTATAAAGGTTGAGACGGGGAAGAAGACGCTGATACTTCAAGGCTTGAAGACTAGCAACGTGTTGAATTCGGTTCTGAAGGAGATATATCACCTGAAGAGGGATAGCTCTGTGAGGTATACGCGGAAGAATGATAACATCAGGCCGTTCGAGAGCGGGGGCGAGACTTCCCTCGAGTTCTTCTCTCAGAAGACTGATTGCAGCATATTTGTGGTGAGTTGCTGCTTCGATCTTCTTGATAGGTAGTAGGTCTAGTGTTCATCTCGGTTTGCAGTTTATTGCGGAAGGGAAGGCGTTTGCGTTTTTTGAATTAGAGTGCTAATGCGTTCGTTTTGTATGGCTGATTGGATTTGCGGCTGCCAATGCTAAAGGAAGTGCCTTTTAGTCTATATATATGAATGAGCTTTTATAGGGCGAATATGGTTCTGGAGTATGCATTTTAACGGATCCGTGGATGAGGCAGATAGCTTTCTGCTTGTAGGTGGGCTTCGTTTTTGGTGGTTTGTGAATGGTAGGACTACTTAGTTGCGATTTTGTTTTCTGTAGCAGCTTAATGTTGAGGAGAGTGATGCATTTGTTTGATTAGGGAGCTTATAATGCGTACATGTGGCTAATGTGAATGGCTTCTGACAAAGTTCAAGGATGTACTTTTAAGTCTTAAGATATGATGTATGTTGGGTCATGTGTTTCTAGATATGCAATTGACGGCATCCTTGATGATAGAGATGTAGCTTTCTGTTTGTAGGATTATGATTACTTGTAATAAGCTGACCTAATGGTTTCTTTCATTGATTGGTTCTTCCACTTCCACTTTCCAATACTTCAATTATGCTAGCCTTTCGATATCTCTATCTAATGAATGGTTGTTTTGCAGTATGGCAATACGTCAAAGAAGCGGCCTGACAATATTGTCATTGGACGTACCTATGATCACCAAATATACGACCTTGTAGAAGTCGGTGTTGAAAACTTCAAACCAATGGAGTCATTCAAATATGACAAGAAGCTAGCTCCGATGGTCGGGTCTAAACCATTTATCACTTTCGCTGGAGAAGGATTCGAGAGCATTGATGAATTGAAACATTTGAAAGAGGTTCTGCTTGATCTCTTCCGGGGAGAGGTGGGTCCCCCAATAGTCTCGACTACTTTTCCCTTACTTCTGAAGTTATACATACTGTGGTAGCAGTCTGCAGGGATTCGGTTCACACCGGACCGGACACTATACACACCCCTACGTACCGACTAATAACTAAATCATCTATGTGATTGAACAGGTTGTTGAAAGTTTGAGCCTAGTTGGGCTAGACCGTGTTTATGTAGTCACAGCTGTATCCTCGGACCGAGTCTTCCTTACTCATTGCGCCGTGAGGCTAAAAAAGTCTGGGTCCGTAGTCCCGAGGATCGAACTAGTTGAAGTTGGCCCTTCTATGGATCTTGTGGTTCGCCGTCATCGCCTTCCTAACGAGAGTTTAAGGAAAGAAGCAATGAGAATTTCTACAGATGGCCTTAAGAAGAAGGTTTGCTTTCTTAGACTAAAAGTTCTATCTTTCTCCGAATGGGAATTTGGTGTATTGGCTAATGCTGATCTTGTTTCTTTCGTCTGCTGCTTGCAGATTAAGAATGTTGTTGGAGATTCTATACAGGGCAAGATCGGGAAGATTTATATGCCTGATCAGAAGGTAATTAGTAGTGGAAGTTCTAGATAGGGTAGTGACTTATTGTGAAATCCTTAACACAAAACTCTTACGGTCATTGGAACAACTCTTGACTTTTTTTTATTGTCTGTTGGTTTTAGATTGGAGAAATGGCACTACCTAACAAAGCCAAAGGAGTAAAGAGAGAACGCCGAGAAGCCAAGTTGAAGCACAGTGAGCATGCAGCAAAGAAGCGGAAAGAAGATGCCGCTGACTGATTGTATTTGGCCATCTGGGTTACTCCTGAGCCATCATTTGGCGATCTGATTATACTCCTTTGAGGGTCTGCATTGCCAAGCTCGTGGATGCAAGACAGGTCGTCGGAGGGAAGAAAACTGGGGTGTCACCAAGACATCATTTATGTTCTCGGATTTATAGTAAACTCAATTGATCAAGTTTTTGGTAGCTGTAGTCGTTGTTATCAATCTGCATATGTAATTTGCTCCACAATGACAAGTTTAATGAGTGTTCTAATCGAGCTAATTATCAATGCCATTTACTTTTAACTTTCTCTGATCATTATTCATTATCAAATCATAGTATGTTTAGTTTGCTTCTACTTAGATCACATCTTTCATCAAGTTTGTGAGGGATCTCTTGCCAGATTTTGAAAGAAAGATCAATTATGCAAAAGAGCAGGAGCAGAAGAATCATTAATTCGTTACAGATTATGCTTCAAGGAAAGAGAGAACAAGCAAAATACAGAACTTTTTTCACAAAAGAGGGAACCTTCTTCAAGAAAAAGTGCTGAACTATTCTAGGAAACACCATAGTGAAATTAGACTTGGCTATGTACGAACAGATAAGAGGCCACCAAGAACAGTTGACCAATACAAGCAAACCTATTGAAAAAAATTTACTATCGCTATCACAGTATTCTATTCCCAGAATGTCCAAGTTGAGAGATATTGCCAGACTTCATAACCGCTGTTGGAACCATAACCTGAAAACTCTGCCAAACACAACGCGCCACAATCCCGGTCTAGCTGATTTCACCTGCAAATGCTCAAAAACTCAGAAGGCGTCCATTAGCAAGAATCCAAGATACCTACCAGATGTTCACCAAATTCCAGCTCACCTGTTGCATAATGGAGAGCTAAAACATGGATAATAAAGAAAGTTCAGCAAAATAAAGCTCAAAAGAGAAGAAATCACAAGATTGAAAAAAAAAATAGTGGTATGCATTCAATGAAAGAAGCATATAATCGGTAAAGATGTCCAGTCTTATGTACTATATAATCCTAAAGTTGGCATCAATAAGTAATGACGCCGGTATCTAACTTCTTTTTAAACTCCCAGCATCCTGCTGCTGAGCAGAACTAATATCAGGTAGTAAGCTCTCATCAAACAGCAGCTGCTTGTCCACCCCTGAACTTCTTTCTGCTGCTTGTGTGGAACCTAAATCCCAGACGTCAGAGAACCCACCTGTAACTCCAAACTCCCATAGCTCGTTCCCTGGACTGGTAGCCATGATCGGATGAGTGTCGAATCCCATGCTCCATACATCAACCTCTTGCTTAACTACGCTTTCGAAGCCTGGACTTGAGACTGCAGGAAGTGTGAATTCCTCCTGCTGCATTCCCAAATCGTCAGGATAGGAGATGAAATATTCAGGACCGAGTTCTTGCTGTGAATCCATCACCACATCCTTCCCTTTATAACATTGATCCTCAATCTCCTCAGAGGGGATTATGAATTCCTGCCCTGCAGCAGCCAATTCATCTGTTGATACAAAAGAGTCAAGCTCAAATGGCAAACCTTCTCTGTCTGCACCTCCTTCTGCCATGTTTTGCAAGACATAATCAGGTGATAGCTCCTCCTCCATAGGAACAGAATCAGACTCGTGCTTTATCATCTTCCCTTGAACAGATGTAGAGCTTCCACTCGCTTCACCTTGACTTTGTCTGAGGAACTTCTTCCTCTTTGATCCTCCTCCTATGCTGCCTTGTTGACGGTCCTCCTTGCTTTCCTTCAGTCTGTCGAGGAATCCTGGATTTTGGAACAGCTTTGCCAGGAAGGAAAGCATCTGCTTCTGTCTCTGCTCAGCTACATGAATCCTCTTGTTGACCGTCTCCATATGCTCAATGGATCCTCTTTGCTGCTGCTGAAGTTCTACAACTTCCTGCATCATTGCTCCTCTCTCCTTCCTCAGCCTCTCCACCTCACTCTCCAGCCTGGACTTCCCTGCTGCTTCACCAGAGGACCCAACAACATAGCCACTGGTTGGCTGAGATGATGATGGTGACTTCCGCCGCTGGATATTTCGAAGAAGATGCTTTTGACCTTGTTGAAAGCCTTCGTTTGCAAACTCCCACTTGTCAGCATCGATCTTGCGGAATCCCTGGACAGAGTAAAAGGCATAAAACAGAACTCAAAAGAGTAAGTGTGGGGAAGCAGACATTACATAAGGCTAGTGGAATTGCTCTCAGAAACACAAGCACCAAACCAAACAAACAGTTTAAGCTGCCTTGGAAACATTAGGGTTCTTCAGTCTGTAAATCTGAAAAGTTCTTCCTTAACAGCAACACACACACAGAAAAGAACACCAAACATATGGCAAAAAGCTGTAAACATCATTATTTATGGTGTACTGGAACCTGAAATCCTACCTGGATTCGGATTAGGTAGATAGCTCCCCGCTCCAGTACAAATTCAGAGGTTGGCGCTAGGATGATCAAAACTTCACCTATAACTTATCATCTCATCTGAATTTGCAAAAGCCATTACTATACTACTTCTTCTACCCACTATACTATTACATCAGAGAATCAAAACCCTTTTACATGTCAACAAAACTGCTCAAATTTACAAAGAACCCTCCAATTACATAGATGAAAGTTACAATCTTCAACCAAAACATCAGAAAAAGTTAGATACCAATCGAACCCAGACAAAAAAATCGATAAATCAATGCAAAGCTAAGAGCTGCTGTGGTAACAGCAAGATACCCACATAAGTATTGAGCTGGCGAACGAAGCTGGAGAAATTGTTGTGCTTGAAGTTGCGAGGGAGCACGGTTCTGGAGAACTCGACCGGATCCCAAACCACAAAGCTCACCCCATCGGCTCCCCACGAGATCACGGCGTCCAGACCTCGGTCGTCCACCAGGTCGAACGTCTTCGACAGAAACGGCGGGATGGGAGTCTCGTGCAGAATCGCCAGCGGCTTTGGAAGAGATGGAGGAGAAACCCCAACCACCACCGCCGCCACCGGCGGCGATGACACATCAGACGCCTTGAATTCGAACGATTGAGGGAATTCCTCGAAGAATTCCATCAGGGGAGAAGCCGGAATTGGGATTGCCTCCGCAATGGAACCGCCGTGTGGCGAATTGGGTAAGTCTTCAGGCTTCATTTTGGATCCACGAATGAACACACAAAATAAATTGAAGAAATGTGACGGGGAGACGGGCAAGGAATGTGATAAGGAAAAGGGAGGAAATTAGTCGGAGTGAACGGCGAAGTGGATTTATAAGGGATCGCCGACAAACTGTTTGATGGGAGGAAGTAAAAAAATCTTGAGCAGTAAGGCGGTGGCGATGCCGGAGCACGTGACGGTCAGATGAGCGGTTTTTCCTGGTAATTTCTGGCAGTTGGGGTTCCCGCGGTTTTGGCTGGCCCAGATATTTTTTTCCACTTCGATTTGGCGGGTGGTCGAGTATGCGCCCGGGTGAAAGATATTTTGGTTGGGGTGGGGGTTGAACCGAATTTTCTAGAAGTTTTGAGGGTATTTGAGTGGGTGGACCGTGGATGATAATTACTGAAAGCTCCATAACTTCTTATAATCATTCAACTTGGTCTTTAAAAATTGACATACTACAACATTCATAAACTCTCTAGATTCTCGTATCTCTACTGACTCGCTTTCTATGATGTTGATTGTCACTTAGATTTGTGCAATTCAGTTTCTTCATTTACCGTCTCACATCAATATGTAAGCAGTGATTATGTTTACTTCTATTTCTCTCTTTAACACAAGGTAAAACGAATACCCAACCGAAAAACATGAAAACAACTATGGTTTGATCAGTTTTACCTTCAAGTGGCTTCAGCGAGCGTAAATGACTTACTCGAATGGAATAAGGAATATCTCAAAGTTTCTAAACTTTAAAATCACAAGTAGGATACGATATATTTGCTTTTATAAAAGACAATGTTGCAAGTTTACTTTCTCACAAAAACTCTATCTAAAAGAACAAGGGCCCAATTGGGAATGAGGATCTATGTCTGTTAGTAGCTTATATCAGTGGCGTGGAACCCTTATGTGCATAAATATATGTTTTTTTTTCCCCCAATTCGTTTGGCCTAGATTTCGCCGGTAAAAAGTGTCGGCGTCCAATCGGATTTAGGTGGTCGCAATACTTGGTGGCGAAGCTAAGCCGCCTGCCAATGAGATTTCAGGGGAGGTGCTGCTGTCCGGCGGTTTTCTAACCAGTTGTCAACGTCCTCATTGAAAATGACACTTATGATCACATTCAATTAAAAAGGGGCAGTAATTCAATTGCGATTTGTACACTAATCGTAAGATTTGACTGATTAAGGTTGACCGTATAATCCTAAGAAATGCCTCAGTAAACAAGATTGACATTGTGTTTTCGCTTACGTCCAAGTTCCAACCATAAACGTCGATTCAGGGTTTCTCTGTTCTTATATTCCGGGTCGGATAAGATCACAAGAACGATAAACTACTGCGAACCGGCATCAATTGGTACGACTTCAACTCTGGATGCAGAATTGGTTAATACGACGATTACAGAAAGTCCTGAGAGTGGAAAGGATTCAAAAGTCCAGTTCAAGACATTGCTTCAATGACGAGGAAGCTGCTTCTCATTAAGACTAACATTTTGAAGTTATGGTTTGGGTTCCCATTTTCATCGTTCTAGGTACAAAATTAATAGAGGTGGACGACTTTACACGACGACCTTTTTTTACCAACATCGTCGATTGGAAAGGACACATTTCTTTCGAGCAAAATCTCCGTCGCAGAAGCATGGGGCGAAAGCAAAGCAGCGCAATCAGTTGGAACTGGGAACTCTGGACGACACAAGACATATACAACAATAGTCCCTGCAGCTCGATAAGAGTACATTTCATGAGAATCTAAAATCGGGACTCGGATAGCAAAACTCAATGAAACTTGGAAGTGTACCTGAGAAAGCACTATCTACTAGGTGCTTGCCTCTGTGCGGTTATCAAAATTTCGGGAAAAGAATGCTCTGTATTATGTGCATAAATATCTGACTGCTGCTGCCGCCTCAGGGAAGTAAATGTGCATAAATATCTGACTGCTGCTGCCGCCTCAGGGAAGTAAGGCCATGTCTGGACGACCAGCTTGAGGAGTCGTCGGAGGTTTGATCAATGGCCTTAACGATTCCATGATGTTGGCGAAGGAAGGACGTTTCCATGGCTCACTGCGTGGAAGACCAATTCTGTTAACGACAAACTGATGGATTAACTGGAACCAAACTACATGGATATGCGAAACAATACAGATGCTTGAATTGATTTTCTATTCTCAAGGTTAACCCTAAAAAGTTTGGTTCTGGTATATAACGAAACAACCATTTTCTCACCCCCTACCAGTAATGCATAGAACAACTTTGTAAACGAAGAGGTAATATATTCAGAAGAGGGGAGCAAGCAAATACTCACTTGGCCCAGCAAGCCTCAATGAGGTTTGCTACTTGAGGATTTACATCGTGGGGGATCTCAAGCCTTTTGCATTTGAAACCAACTGCTGCCACAACCTGCAAGATATGATCATCATTTAGCAGGTTCGGCATGTGATTGTACGGTACAAAAACTTAAGGACTCCCGAAGAACACAGGAAGATCCAAGGGTATTGAATGCTCCAGAAAAATGTTTATTAACACTGCACCTGTGCGGGATTTAAATTGCCCCAGGGTTGTTGCATTGTTGCCAGCTCCCATAAAATTACGCCAAAGCTGTACACGTCGGACTTCTCGTTTGACGGTTCATCACGCAGGACTTCAGGGGCCATCCACTCAGGCTGGCAAACACAGAAAAAAACATTAACTAAGCAATGTCAAATAGACTTCTGACAACTTAGACATGGATCCAGTTAAGTTACACTCACCGTCCCTGCAGCCGACTTTGATGAAAGAAATGTATTTGCTTTCAAGCGAGAGAGGCCAAAATCGCAAACCTGGGAGGACTAGAAGAAATTAGGAAGTATCCAATCGGGACACTAAATATGTCAAAGCTCAGCTGAACAGATAGAGCATAAGAGGACAATGCTTTATAAATTAAACCTAGATTCAGCTATTACTCCAATGCTGCGGTAGGAAAAAAAGATCTGGACCACACAAATCCAGGAAGACGTGGATTGAAACAGAACTAGAATAATGTTCACATTACCTTCACCGTATACTTCTTATCGACCAATAAATTTGGAGATTTCAAATCTCTGTGAACAATAGGAGGATTGCGCTTGTGAAGGTAATTCATTCCCTTTGCCTATAGATAGAGAACAGAAGCACAACATGTCATGAACAAATTGAAATACCACCGAGAGAAATGCATGGATTGGAAACAAATACAGAGAGCACTGAATGCAGAAATGTGTTTGGAATTGCAAACTCATACCACATCATATGCCATATTCCACCGACGCCTTTCATCCAAGGCCTCCCTTGCACCAGACTTGTGCAGCAACCTGTACAGGCTACCTCTGCAGGGCAAACCGAAGCTAATTCGTCGAACTCGGCAAACAAGAAAAATTCTCGGCCATATTGTAAGGGAACCACAGAAGGAAGCCCATATTTAGAAAGGGATGATCATCAGACCTTGATAAGTATTCTGTCACAATGGACAGGTTTGGTGGCTTAGTAACAGCACCCATGAATAGAACTATATTTGGATGTCTTAGGCGCTTCATTATTGCAACCTGAACACAACAGGGCAGGTGCGACACATTAACCTAGTTAAATAATAGTTGTAATATAGTAGACTATTATCCACATTCAATAATTCATACCTCTCGCAAGAATTCTTTGAAGCGTTCCGCATGAAATTCTTGTTCCATGAGAATTTTCACAGCAACATCCTATAGATCAATGACAAGTTTTGGATAAGAAGAAATATCAAAAGCACAAGGTGGAAAGGAAAAAACTTTATGAACACATTCACCAAAGGAGCCCAATAAACTATGGTCCCAATGCATCTAGCTACTTCATATTGAAGTGTGGTCAACACCCTCATCAAAGTGAACGCAGTTACATTTGAGTCAGATCAATCAGTTCCTCCACTGCAAATTTACCAGCTTCCGCACTCAAAAATTAATTCATGAAAGATCACATAACCAGGGCATGATGAATGGAAAGTCGGCCAGGTAAATGCATGCTGGCTAGCAGCACTACTTCCGTTCAAGTTAATTTCTACCAAACATAATAGCTCTTCCTACCTCAATAAAATTCTTTAGACCATAAAAGCTTAACAGGGTAGCTCGGGAAAGTAATAGAGATACCAAAACCATGAGTAGCTCATAACAACTTACTGAGCCATGCCAGTCAGCACGATGGACAGTTCCAAAAGAACCTGGTCGAGAAGCACAAAAGATCAACGGATCAAAAACATTAGATATTAGGAGAAGAATAAAAGGCTTACAAGCCACAGGTGAATAGTTTTTAAGTGCATGTACATACAGCAGAAAGTAAATACCTGCTCCAATTCTCTCTTTCAAAACAAGATCAGTCCATGGGATGTCGAATTCCTCCGCCTCAAGGGATAGATCTTTACTTGGTCTACCAGAAATTAATTGACTACCTTCAGAAAACCTTGCATCGGAACTCGATACAGACAGAAGATGTTGCCCAGTGGGAGGTACATGCTTAATTGGGGTATGATCTTTGAGCATGTTTGACGGTTGTTTGCTTTGGGCTGGGTTATAGACTTTTGGTGGTTGCAGACTCCTATCCTGGCCACCAGTCCGGGTAGCTCGAGGGGGCAGAAGGGGTTGAGAAGTTTCATTGTTGTTAGGGAACTTATGGTCTTCTTCAGCACTGGTAGTAATTCCTGCTGTACATTAGGCAGCAACAAATTAAAATCTTAAGAACTCTAATACTCATGCAATTAAAATTAACAACAGGATAAATCATGTGCTAATTTTAGAAACTAATATGGTATTATCATTTGAGATATAGCATTGCAAATTCTAGGATGTCACCAGACTTTAGCAAAACCTGAAAGATTACCAAAAAAAAAATTACATGGGTGATATAGGTGTACTTTTTTGTAGTTAAATACTACTCCAGGTTCAAGGCTAATGGTATTACCACTAGAGTTACCAAAATTACACCACGCAAATGCTTATTGCTATGTCTGAGATCTCTTAGGTCAGAAGGTCCACGAAATTCTGAACCCAGATTTCAAGTAACAGAAGAACATAATCTCAATTCCCTGATCGAAAACTTGGATCGAAGTAAGGTAAATGGGAACCACAATCGCAATGATTTTGAAATGTTTGAGCCATAAACAAAGTTTGCCAATAAACTGATGACACATAGCTACAAACAAGCAACAAGAATCACATGAATAACCTCCTGACTAGAAGACTAGATTCAGATATCTCTCTGCAGAGCCAATAATGAGAAAAAAATCCACCTCCTAATAAAAGCAGATAGCAACATTAAGAGCCAACTTACAGCAAAAAGTACCAGCTTTCTTCCAATGAACTTTTTCCAATTATTACCTGCTGAAGTATCATCAAACACAATATTCAGTGACTGACAGTCTGCGAAGTACTGTTTGGCCAGTGACCTAAAATCAATGGCATGTTCAGCTGATTTGGTCCGGGGGAAGCGCAATGGTGAAGATATTGAGATGGAAGAAGGACCATTGATCAATGAATCGGGCTCAAATAAAAGACCTGGCTTTCCTACCAAGTCAACTAGATACTCCCTGAAATTTCATAACAAAAAATAAAAAGAACAGTAAAAAATCCGATGTATCACACACAATTTGCTATAAATACAACTTACAGCCAACTTGCATAAGTTTTTCCAAATGATACAAGCATTACAACTAGCAAAAGTTCAGGCACCGGGTTAGAGAACCTTTAGCACAAGTGCATACATACTTGTGCTGGAGATCTCCAATTCGAATGAAGGTATGAATACAAAATTTACAAGTTCAAGAAACAAGATGCAATTTTATGTTCAGATACTGGTGGGCAAGCAAACGGCCATCCTATTGATAAATCAGAGAGGACACGCATTTTAAGGGGAAACAGTACCTGTCAGGGCCAAATCGAACAAGACAGGAAGAAGCATCATCTCTTTTACAATATTTGCAGCCTTTCGCAATCCGACATGGTAAATCTATTGCATCAGCAAGAACCTGTAAAATATCCAATGTGAGAAATAAACTCAAAAGCTCCAAACAATCGAGGCAGCTTCAAGAGACAAAATAAATAATGGTATCCTACTTTGAATAGTAATGTCCGGTGTCTGCAGAGGCCAATAGACAAGCTGCCTATTGGGACAACAATCGATCCCAAACGATCTTTTAGATCATCATTGCACTCCATCCATGTAGAAAAGAATTCATCTTCACCAGTAGTGGCTGAACCCCTTGTAGTATAAAAGATTGATTAACAGAATATTCTACAAAATAGCAGCTTCTGTTGCATCTAAACCAAATAAACATAAAATAAGCCGGAAGAGCATAGCTCACCCCATGCGATTGCACACAAGATTGGCCAGTTGATTAACAACCTCTTTTGTTGTTATAGAGTTGCAAGATATATTGTGGACCCTGGTTTGAAGCTCTTTCAAGGTCGGATCACTACGCCGATCAATCAACGCCACTTCCAATGAAGTGTCGGCGGTAGGATCAGCCAACTTTAGTGTTTCAATGGATGGAATACGACCATTCTCTTGAAAATCAGTACAAATAGACCATACATATGGATCCATCCCAGAAATGAGGTAAAATCCATCTGGGATCTTATCAAAGTATGATAAGCAACCATTTACCTGATGCAAGTCGAGATAATCATATCAGTTTGTCGGTGAAAATATCAATAAACATGAATAAGAAAACATAATCCACTGGTCCACTCATAGGAGAGAAGGAATCACATTAAATTTGATCATACGGGGACTAAATCCAACCAGTATACAAACCAATTTCAAAATCTAGATTAGTTAAGAAAATGAATGCACAGGGACCTATCTTTGCAAAGCTATGATATTAACTACTGGCAGTGCTAAGCTAAACATTACTGCCCCATGAAAGCTTGGACTTGCATTTTACCATGTTAGCAGCCACCGTTAACAACAATAGCAAATAACAAGAAAAACAAATAAAGATGCATAGAGAGAAGTCACGGAACCAATGTTTTCCTCTCTGTTACAACTCTCACATTAACTAAATATTTCCATTACTTCCTTATGAAACACAAAGATAGTGAAGTGCATGAACAGGCCTCATATGCTGCTCTTGTTTTCTAGGTGATGTTAAAGAAGATGGCATAACATGAAGAGCTTTTCAAAGAGTTTTGAGAAGTTAAGACTAACATGAGGCACATCAATACATTATATAGGCATTCAAACATATCAATCAGTGAGGTATTGCAGAATACTCACATCTTTGGATCTGTAGCGAAGAAAAATGCATCAGTGAATGACCATAGACATCAAAAATGACAACTATCAAGTTTCTCAGAAGTTCTAGCTATAAGGTTTTCACGGCCCAATGCAAATAGCCAAATACTTCTACTTTGAAGGTTAAATCGTCTAAAATCCTTCCTAAGTTCTACTGTGAGTCCATCAATTCCTTGTTGGCAGCAGCAAACAAGAGGTGTGATCTTACTATCAACCAGATTTTGCATACTATGTAAAACGAAGATAATGTATTCAAACTGGTGCAAATTGTTAACCATCCTAATTCGTTTCCTTCTAGTCATTTCAATAATCCCCACCATCAGCAAGCAATCGCTGTTCTATGTATCTCAACCTATTCTTCTTGTTTGCTTTGCCATGGAAATGCATATATCAAATAGAATTGTCACTTACAATCCAATATGTTGCTACCCACTCAGCTGCTGAAATGCGCATATGAAATAACACTCATGACGCACCAACTAACTACTAGGGTTAGAAAATGCGCATGCACAGTTCTCTACCTCTAACGTTCAATGAATTTCATGACCTAACACCCAGACGAAGTTCCTCGAAAGAAAGATTAGAGAAACTGGTAAGTACCCAAAATCGATGAGACAAGGTCTCCGCGGAGTTGGAGCTGGAAGACCGGGAAGCCGATTCATCCGGCACTGGATCCAAAAAATTCGGGTCATCGGCACAAGTCGCCTCCGATGATAACCTAAGTGCCAACGCCAGCTGGAGCTGGTAGCTCTCCTCCGTCTGCTGCGCCCAGCTCTTCCCCGACGAACCCGGTGCCGTCGTCATCCCCGCGGCGGCATCCATCCCTCTTGTCGCGTACCCATAAGGCTCAATCTCGTTGCCGCCGCCCGTCGACAGCGGCGCCGCATAATACTCTCCAGACAGCGAGCTCTCCCCAAAGCTGCTCCCGCTGGACTGCCGCTGCAGCCCGATCGACGAATACAAGTTCAGATTACCCCGATTACTGTTGCCGTTGCTGTTGTTATTGGCCGGCTGATTCAACCTGTGATCGCCGCCGCCGGCTTCCCAATCGAAGCCTCTATCTCTATCCGACTTAATCCTGCCGCTCTTGGAGTCGCTGGAGAACGAGTCATAGTACGGCGGCGGCGGCGTCCCCGCCGATAGCTGTTCGTCCGGGTACTGGCTGAGGAGACTGTAGTTGGATCTTCGACCGGGCATTTCCATGGAGATCCTGCTTTTGGGAGTTTCCTTCAGCTCAAAGCAGCCTCAAAACCCTAAACACCGCCATTTTGCCGATTGGAAGGAGTAGAGAGAGGAGCGGAGAGGTGAGCTGAACCTGGAACGCGTTTTGGCTCGTTTCTCTCTCTAGAATTTTGTGGGATTTTGGAAGAAAGGGCGGAACAGAGCTCTCTCTCTGTCTTCGTCTCTCTTTTTTCTCCTTTCTTCAGTCTTAACGTTCCGTTGTCGGGGGAAAAAAAAAGAGAAATGTAATGAACCCATAACATAACCGAACAGCGGCTAACGGCTGGTCCGTTCGGGTCAACGTGAATATAATTAATCGAGTATTTTCTTTAATCGAGTTTCACTAAATGTGAAATGGATCATCTTGATTAATATTTGCTATATTTGGAATTTTATTCAATTCAAATTCTTTAGACGTTATCGTTCCTTCCTGAATTCAATTAATTTGCATAGTGATTGGAATTTAGGATGAGCAAATTTCGATTATAACTATTGGTAGTGAATAGTGATCCATGTAAATTACTAAAGGATACGCATCATATTTCTTTCATCAACAACAAAAATATTGAACACGACAAGTATATCCATACTCGTATGTTCTTTCGTATCAAGCAATCTGACTATCTCTATCATATAATGATCAACGATAATATTTGCAATCAAATAAGGTGGTTCGGGAATAACATTGCGATGGGTTCTAAATTTTAGGTGTTGCACACTAGTTTTATGCATCGAGAGATTGTGACAAGTGTCCATTTGAAGGCGATTGACTAATATTATGGGAGGGAGAATAATAGAAATTCGGTTAACAATTCAAGTGATTCATTTACAAGAGAAAGTTAGGAAACAAACAACACTCATCCCCTTGGAATCCCAAAACAACCACTAGATAAGCCAACTTACAAAATCAAAGAAACAATCTCCTGAGAAGAAAGTGTCAAGACTTTACGTGTCACTCTATTGGCAGCACAATTTGCAGTTCGAGGAACCGCCCTAAAGACTATGAAACAAGAGGATGAGGAAAGGAGTTGGTGAAACTATAAGAGCAACAACTCCTCCCCTTAGGGCATCCGCAACCACACAAAGACGAAGTTGACAAACCACCACCTCATAATCGCCTTTGATGATAACACAAGGAAGGATCTAAGAGATGACGAGAGAGAGGGCATCACTATCAGCGAGGACTTATGCAACATAGAGATAAGACACCCCAAGTGATGAAACCCAACAACTAGAACACATGCTCGTCTGCCCCCACGAACCATCGGGCTAGAAGAACATGCAACATTACGGACGACAGTGCCAAAGTTTATTTTGAGGAAGTCTTCGAGTGGGGCAGCCTAACGAGCCAAACTCGAGGGCGGATGAGGGGGAATATGAGCCACAAAAGTAGGGGAGTTAGTGGCAAATTCACGGGCTTGAAGAAAACTATGCTGAGTTAAGGAACGAGCATGTGGGTTGTGGCTAAGTGAACTCAAACACCACTTTATTTCGAGATTTCCTTATTCTCCATAAATGGCAGATAAGTTGGAGAATTTTGTATTGGGAGTACTTAAATAGTATAATGTGTCACCACCATAAACTGAAATTAATAGTCGGGCGGAGGTTACAAAATCAATTAGCCCACTAAAGACCAAAGTTGAGTGGCTAAAGGGCATCGAAAGAACAAATGTTCAATGCTCTCACAACGTCTTCAACAAACTGGACATCTAGTTAGGTAGTGCACTCCTCTTCTCTTAAGAGCCACCACCAGGTTGTAGAGGAGGAGCTAGGGAGCATCCAGTTGCGGAGCATCCAACCATAGAGCAGACCGCTAAAGGAGGACCACGCGAGCACTACTAAAGATGTCTCGTCACAAGCTAATCCACTGGAGGTGTTTCATACACTTAACGTCTTAGACTTTTGGGACTAGAGTTATCCAAGTTCGGTTAACATTACTTAGGAGGTTTTCTGAGTGAAAGAATGCTAGCATCTCCTGAGTAACATCTTGCCCAACAGTATCCCAACATGCCTGAAAGAAACTTATCGTTAAGCCATAAGGTCCATGAGCCTAATTCTTACCGCCTGGGTAACAATACCACATATTTGTTACTCCAACAGTATGTCAGGTACATACATATTCTTCCAAACCTCTAGGACATTGGATTTACGCCTTGTCGAGGCAACCAAGTGAAAAGTAAGTTGTGTTCCTATCCCCCTCAGGTAACCATCTAATCTTGGACGTTTGTCGTCAGTACAACTCTTCCTGTGCATATTACGTGGACAACCATCCTTATTAGAATCAAATTAGTTCCCAAGTCCACTAGCCTTGGATGTCTAGCACCCTCAATAGATTGCCTCAAGTCTCTAAGGTTTCTGGCCGGGTTTGATTTTCCTCCTATACACCAGTTAACCAGAGCATGCCGAACTCGAATTAGCCTATAGAATAAATAGAATTGCCGAGACACCGAGATGGGTAACCTCCATACAAAATCTTTGATTGGGCCTGCTTCCGGTGATTTGGTCCATCTTTTATCAAGGTTGAACTATCTCTTACGACTCATGAAACTCGGATTAGTAATGAGACATATGATCCGAGCCACTATATGATAAATGAGAGAAGATGGTTTCAGATTAGAGGGTCATCCGCAAGGGAGACAAAAAAGCCCTATCAATACGATGCTTTATCATGATACCAAGCCGTCCACAATTAGTCCAAGTGATTTTAGGCCCTTGGAAGGGCACTTTAAGAGAACCTAGGCGATTTATGAAGTTCCAAAGAGGTCAAGCCTTATCTAACACCCTATTGTCAAGAACCACTTGGTACCAATAACTCGTCTTGCTAAAAAAATGTTAAAGTACTTATCATATACCATTTATTAACACGTCCCTCAAACGAAAGCCAACGCACACAGTCTTGAAGTTTGCCCAATTCCCATTCATCATGGAGTCGGGTTTGGAAGAACATGTATGTACCTGACATACTGTTGGAGTAACAAATTTGTGGTATTGTTACCCAGGCGGTGAATTAGGCTCATGGACCTTATGGCTTAACGATAGGTTTCTTTCAGGCATGTTGGGATATTGTTGGGCAAAATGTTACTCAGGAGATGCTAGCATTCTTTCCCTCAGAAAACCTCCTAAGTAATGTTAACCGAACTTGGATATCTCTAGTCCCAAAAGTCTAAGACGTTAAGTGTATGAAACACCTCCAGTGGATTAGCTTGTGACGAGACATCTTTAGTAGTGGGTCATCCGCAAGGGAGACAAAAAAGCCCTATCAATACGATGCTTTATCATGATACCAAGCCGTCCACAATTAGTCCAAGTGATTTTAGGCCCTTGGAAGGGCGCTTTAAGAGAACCTAGGAGATTTATGAAGTTTCAAAGAGGTCGAGCCTTATCTAACACCCTATTGTCAAGAACCAGTTGGTACCAATAACTCGTCTTGCTAAAAAATGTTAAAGTACTTATCATATACCATTTACTAACACGTCCCTCGAACGAAAGCCAACTCACACAAGCTTGAAGTTTGCCAGATTCCCATTCATCATGGAGTCGGGTTTCGTATACAAGACCTTTCGATTATCAAAATTTTTGATACAATATCAAGAACCAATTAATATTAAGAACTCAATTTGCTAAAAAAAATGTTTGATTATTGATCATATACCATTTACAGACACCAATCACATCCGCTTAATATTTCATCATCTCTAGCCATTGGCCATTCTTTTTATAACAATATCAGATTCCGCACGAAAACAAATACATGAAAGTTGTCATTAGGGTCAGTGGTAATTGTTAATTAGCAAGCAGTGCAAGTTGCTTAATTATTTATTTACTATAAAAAAGTTGCTTAATTACGATCATTAGGATACGACTTATTTACACCTACACCTAGATACCTGCTGCTGCATGCAGGTTGGTTGGCCACCACCACCACTCCCTTTGTCGTCTTGTTCATCCACCACTGTCTTAATTAAGCCATTGGAATCCACTATTCTCTCCATATCTAATCATAATTAATCCTTCATGTTGCCTTTTAATAAGTAAGTATATATATATATATATATATGGCTGGTGGGAGAAAATTCAAAGTTCAAACCCATTGCTAGCTTTAATGATACATTGACTAACAAGCCAGGTCGAGAGAGTATCCTGATATCAATACCCATTATGTGATAGGTCGGTTTTAACCTTTTAGGTTGAGTAATTTATCATATGATGTGCCTTAAAAAACATATGATGCTTGTTGGGAAAATAGACCTATATATGTATATAATTTAAAAGAAATATATTAGAATACTCATTTTTGTACGAAGAACTAAATAAACAAACTATAACATGATAAATATAGTTAAATTTTTTAAAAAATCGAAATTCTCACTTATTTACAACTTTATTATAATTAAACTATGAGATAATAAAAATAAAGTCATAAGTAATTTGAGTAAAATTACATATAATTTAGATAAACCCTGTCGAAAATAAAATGAATCGGGACATGTTAAGTCGGGGAGAGCATTCATTTCCTCCCCAATCCCCACTCTATTTAAGAACAAGTATTATCCACATCAAAACATACCGCAAGTCAAATAGCGTCGAAATTCTCACCCCTAGGCCCTAAGAGCATCCACATTACTGCAATTGCATTTATGGTTTTTTTTAAACAACACTATTTTTGCAAGCCAACTCACTTTACTTTCATTGTGACGTACATTGGTGCAATTAACTTGCAATTGCATATGTGGCCTAATTTTTTAAATAAAAATACTTTTTCATAATTACCATATTATCCATATTGCAAGTAAATAAAATAAGATTTCATTTTAATTTAATTTAAACAAAATCTATACAATTAATGGAAACGAGAAGAAAAATTGAGGAAAAAAGAAGTATATAAAGAGAAAAAAGTTGATACTGAAATTGATGAAAATGGATTTATCAACCAAGACTGAATAACAAAGAATACTATATGAAAGGAAAATTAACAAGCTACTCAAAGACAAGTGATTTATATTCATGATTTTGATATTTGTTTTGTTACGACCTAGCATTTCTTATTATATTTCGTAGTTTAATTTTTTTGCATTTTAAATTTGGAGTGTACTATGGCAATGAACATTAAATAAAAGAATAAGTTAACATTTTCAAAAAATCAATATAAGCATTTCGTTGTTTGTATGTATGAAATTAAAGTAATAAATACAACTTTTTCTATTTATATTATTATGTGTTGTTTATTATAATTACTAAAATCATTATATGATGCTATTTACTCCCATTGGTACAATTGGTACAGTAATAAACTAATTTAAACACATTGTCCGTGGAAATTATCCAAAAAATTCCAATAAAACTTAAATCTATGCCAAGCAAAGCCACACGTTGGCAGTTAAATTTACAAGAAAAAAAAACGAATAAGTTTTCCACGCTGGCTTGCATTGAGTAATTACAACAAATGAAATCTTTTATTTTTGCAAGTACTACTCCCGTCCGTGCGATGGGAAAAATCAATTGCAATATTCTGCCACGTCAAATGCAATTGCAATGTGTGATGCTCTAACCCACCCCTAAATCCCACGGGCTGCTCAAATGGAGGCTGTCGGTGTTTTCTTTGTAGTTGACCAATTGATGCCTTTGTTGTTACAATTGTTTTCATTCTTCCTTTGTTTTTTCCCCGTAAGTTGGTCGGTGAATGTAGATTATCGGTGGCTTTTGGATAGGAGAGACATGGACAAATGGATATCACCAAAGCTTTCACCAAAGAGGATCATAACATCAATTGGTCAAAGGTCCACAATTGCTTTTGTACCCTAATTGTTAAAGTCTCCACCCATACATGGATTGGATGCAATGCACCTAACATGGGTGGCGAAATTTTGCAGTACATTTTTGCATATGCTCAAACTAAATTTCATTTGTCTTTCACTAATATTTGTAGTCTTACAGAAGTTTACCACATATAAAGGTGTTGATCACTGCGACACTGCCCTATTGATTATAAACGATTTTTTGGTGGTAGAGAAGTTGATTGTGATGCCAAGATGACTCTTCGTATCCGGTTTATGTTGTCTCCTTTCGGTTTTTCTAGTTATTTTAATTATGTATATTTACATTCTTTATAGCAGTGCTAAACGAAACAAAGGTAGTTTCTCCTCAAAGGAAAAAAAGATACATAGGTATTAGGAGAGAATGAGTAACAAATTATAGCATGTTTCGAGGATTTAACAGTTAATTTATCAAATTTTGATCTACATCATCTTGCAAAGACTAAATGATTTTACCATTAAGATTATGCATTTATAACTTCCTGTGTTCTGTATAGTTATTGACATATTTCATGATATTTTGTGTATCTACACCTCCTAAATTTGTGGGTTCCAACCGGTCATTTCAATTTTGTAGTGTATTACTATGAAATCTCTTACGAACCCCAAAATAATATAGACTTGCCCTCGAAAAAGTGTCGGCCCAAATCATCGATTTCGAAACAAGCGTTCTTAAACTCATCGACTTGTTGTTATTAATTTTTTTTTTAAAAGACTTCTCTCATGTACGAAAGATATTGGTAAACTCTTTCCATCCTATAAAATTATATGAATTAGTCAACTGAAATACACAAATCCTAGAAAATCATACATTTGAAGGCTCGATTTAATTTTAAGATCGATCCGATCCAACCTCCTCTCGTCGGATGGGCTTAACTAAAGCCAATCTCCAAGGTAAAAGGCCACCAGATCCACGAAGAGCCCAGTACTCTCCCACGAGGTTTACAAAATTTCAAAAAAATCAAACAAAGATCGCAAAGCAGGAGGGAAAATGAAATGACAATGGCGCCTAAACGTTTTATGAAAAGCGGCAAATCCGCGGAACCGCCTAAACGCACATCTCTCCACCTCCTCTCTTCTCCCCCCTCAGCGTTCAGCCAGTCCCTCCTTCGCTTTGCCCGCTCGCCGTCGAAGGACGAAAGGTGCGTTTCCAAACCACCTGCAACTCTGCCTCTCTTCATTTATGTAGCGAAAAGCCTTGGGCGTTTGATGAAAACATTGATGCAACTTGCGGATTCCGGTTATTCGAGTGTTTCTGATGTGATTTGTGCTGTTTTTCTCGTCGTTCTATGTCGTCGGAGATTGCTTGACTACTATGCTCGGTATGATTTGTGTTGTTTTGTCGTTGTTCTAAGTAATCGGAGATTGCTTGACGATTTTGCTCGCTTTGTATTCTTCGGTATCTGATTGTAGTCTATGCCGAGAGAATTCATATCTTGTTTAGGTAATTTCTTCGCATGCAAGTCTGGTGGCCGCAGCTGCAGCCTAGGTGTTGTAGCTTTGCGCTCTAACTAGATCAATAACGTGTATACAGAGAGAACAATTGAGCCGAGTATTGTTTGAGTGATTTTACACCTGGTTTAGGTAATTTCTCTGCATTGAAATGTAAGTATCTGGAGAACACGCTGCTGCCAGCAGCTTAGGATTTCATCTAAGAAAAAGTCAGTAGTGAGTTTGCTAAGATCCAATATGGAGAAGAAAAAGCTCCTTTGGAGTAGTTATGTTAGCAAGCTAATGCATTAGCTACTCCTGAACCATTATGATCCTGATGAATGATGACAATTGAAACAGTTTTAGGTGTAACTACGAAAGGCACAAGGGACATTTGGGGATAGTTAACATGAAGTAAGGAAAATGCTCAAAATATGAGCGGAACTCTGAGAAATTACAGTTTTTTTTGCTATGTATACACAAATGCTACACCCCATATTATGGGAAATCCAACAACTCGTTCGGCTTTTTTTCTCGAACTTCTCTTTATGAACCGAGTCTCTGTCATTGAATGTGATCCCTGCTACTTATTGTTGTCCTCGAGCATGGTTTGATTATCGCGTCAAGATTTGGTTCGGAGAAACTATCTATTCATCATCGTCGGCCACATTCTTGCCTTTTTCTTTTCCCTTCATCTTGCTGGCTGGAAAGTGCAGTCTTGCCAGCAGAGGACGCGGTGCTCTCGTCTCTCTGTCGAATCCTCTAACGCAGACAAATCCTGTATTGGAAAAGCAAACTTAAGTGCTGATAGAATAGACATGTGCATGTTTGAAGAATGATTCTTCTGCTATGAGAAAATGTTTGAAATAGATTAAACAATATGCTCAGATTCTCCTATTGTTGTATGGTAAGCAAATTGGTTGGGGAGTGGTATCCTAGTTCAAGCTTAAGCATTCAAGGTGAACTAGGTGTGTTTTTTTTCTTCTTCCATAAAGTGACATAGTATGTCTTGCAACATGTATGCCTCATAGGAGCAACTTAATTGAACTGTTGCAGTGTGGCTCTGATTTACAGTTTATGCATATAGAACAGAAAGAGAAAGGAAAGCAACACAATTGCATACCTTTCCAGAAACATTGTTGGATTTGCTCAGTAGTCAAACCTGTAAATAAAATACAGTTCTTAAATCCAGTTGCATGACTGTTTTTTTTATCCCTAGAACATGGTAGTCAAACAAACAATAATAAAAACTTTACCCCTAAATATTGTTGGTACAGATGTTCCAAAGTAGACAGTTCTTCTGGGTAGATCCCATAGCCAATCCCTGGGTACATCAATTGGATTTTCACTAGTCTCGTGGTCAGCAAATACCTGTAAGAAAAAAGGTACGTTGTATTACTATCCTCCTATTAACTGGAGGGGAGAAACGATCTGTAAAGCTATGATTACCTCATTCACTTGATAGTATGTTCCGTTGAGTGGGAAACTTCCTCTCATCGCTGTTCGACAGGGTATCTGTGTCATGTGGTGTGTACATTTGTCAGCAAGCCACATAGCATAGCCATAGTATAATTCCAATAAGTGATTCTGATAGTGATTTGCATTTTGCTCACCAGAATAGTCCCTCTAACTACTTGACGTCTTGCTTCCAAGAAGCTGCAGCATGAGGGACATGTCCCTCCATCGCATAATTTTCCCTGTGACTGTGATGTGCATATTGTCTCAGGTGGTTCAACAGACTCCGCCGTTTCACCTAGTGAAAGTAGTAGTTGAGGAAAAAATCAGGAGTAGTTTGAAAATTATAGAATTTAGTTCATTCATCTCTTTTTGGCAAAGTCACATACCTGGGGTCCATATTGCAAGGAGATATGGAGATGGATCATCAGCTTCTCGCTTTTCCAACTAAACCGGAAGCAAAAGTCAGTAATTTGTTTTTGTTATAATAGAGTGAATAAACTGATTATTTGAGAAAAGCAGAATTAACTAACCCTTCGCACAAGAGGATGAGTATCATGTAGTTCATATCTGCCGAATTATAGAATAGAAAATGAGTTAGTATATGCTCGACTAGCATACTAGAATAAATATATACCATCCAAAGAAGCACATATAGGATATTTTAGGAGTGGAATGGCTACTTACACTTGGTGCTCGGTTCTTAGCCGGCTAATGTTTTTAAGCTTGGGGGGAGGAATGTATGTAGCCTCTGTAGCCATAGCAACTAAGTCCAATGAAATGTCACCTTCACGAAGATGCATGTTCTGTTTGATATATGTCTCGATATTCTGAGCAAGCTCTTGAACATTAAATGGGATGGCAGGGATTTCCCCATTCAACTTAAGAGTGGGGATTTCGTCAGGATCCTCATAAAAGGCATCTTCAATGTCATCTATTTCGGCTTGAGTGCATTGTGGTTCTGGTGATAATGGTTCCTCAATGATGGGCTCACAGTTGTCTCTTGCTTTTACTGTTGGAAGGTGCAACATCCCTGACTGGCAACATTCTTGTTCAGGCACTGTTGATGATGGTTGAGATCTTGACGGTTGAGTTGCTTCACATATGGTTGGTGGAGGTAATATAGATCTTTGAACATTTGGCATAACTGGGCCTGGGAAAGTTGGCCGGTCTTGAGGTTGTGCAGTAACTATTCTCTTCTCCTCTGGTCCAGGAAGGCTAAGTCTTGCACTGCATCCATACATTTGAATAGTAAATTCATAAGTCTCACACAAGAGGGTATTGCTTTCTTGATACAGGTTTCAAGACAGTATTATGATTGCAGTACACTATTTCAACTACTGCACGAAGCAAATGGTAAGTAACTTGGCTTTCCTGGTAATTTTCTCAGATGCTTCCTTTGTTTTGTTAACATTATCTAGCATTGGTTCAAGTTATGTTATGGGTGTCTAAACTAATCCTGTACTATGTCCTTCAATTGTAATATATTCTAATCTTTGAAAAAATAGCAGTTGTGCACAAACAAACCTTGCAAATGCACTGGCAAAATGTCTACATTCTCCTCTCATTGGGCACGCATTACAGTTTGGCTTGCTTTTTGTACAAAAAACCTGCATTAATTTGAAAGATGTCATGTTTGACTTGAGCTTCAATAATAAAAGGATAAAATCAGTAGCAGTTTAAATGTGAAGGGAACATGCCTTTCCAAATGTGATCAGTTGGTAATGCAATTCGTACCTGTCATTTTTCGTCCATTAGCTCAAATATGTCACTTAAAAACAGAAGCTAATGGAAGCATGCACATACAGATGATGTGTACAAACTAAAACAATTAGGGTTTTGTGTTTACAGTGTTTTCTGATCAAGTTTGCACAGTCGAGGCCATAGATACTTCTGAATTGTGTCCAGTATAGGGTACCTGCAGAGTGAACACAATGTTAGTGCCTTGCAGTGGCCAGGCCTTTATTCTATTTCACAACTTTCTTATGGTTGATGATGCTTACATTTCCAGTAGATGCAACTGAAGTGACTCAGGCAGGGGTTGCAGGGGGACCCATCCAAGTCGGACAGCTATACGCCCAACATTTGTGTCAACCTGTTATTTGTGAGGTTAAGTGTGGTTGTACGAGTAACAAATCTTTATAGGTTTCAAAAGTAATTTGCTCAAACTTACTGGAAAGGCTAGGTGATGAAGCGTCAAAAGCCGGACACACTCCACACTTTTCAGCCCCAGTCCGTTGAAGCTTAGCAGGTACTCCCTACAATAGTAAGTAGAGTTCACTTTCTTGTCAAAATAAACTAGCATTGATTGCATTTGCAAGAGCTCAGTTTTCTCAAGCATGTCCAGAATATGTTCATGCAATGAAGTGGGATGCTTTAAATACTTTTGTACTTACTTTGCTTTGTCAGGGGGGACATCTCTTAACCACTCGAGATCTATGCTTCCATGATAGGTTATCAGTTTATTAAGAAACTCCTGCAAGTTAGCGAGTGGTCAGTGGTAGTGTACTACTAGGGATTTTGATGATATCCCTTGGCTAGGCAGTACAATGTGTTAATCTATGTACCTTCATGCGTGCTGCAAGCATGTTGTTCATTCCACGAGCTTTGATCGTCTCGGCAATCTCATCAACGTCTGAACATCTTACAGCTTCCCAGTCCACCGAGTCCTTTGCATTCTCTGCTCTCTCCTTGTTTATTCCATTTGGCAATACGGTTCTTCTGAGTGCCTCCCAGTCAGCATCTTTGATCTCATCACCAACCCTTCTACTTTTTGCCTTTCTCCTAGCAGCATTCAAATCTTTTACCCCCTTACCTTTGGGAGGGGCATGGTTAATTAAGTTCGACCCTGTTGTGTTCTGAGAGGTCCTCTCCTTCTCAAATTTTTCGCTACTCTCCACAATCTCAAACATCCCTCCTGAAAGGTTTGTCAATTGTTCCTTTGGTAACATGGTAGAACCAGATTGAGCCTTCCGTAGCAGCTCAACGAAAGAACTACTACCTCCACCCAAGCTGTTCAGTTGGGCTCCACCATCGCAAGTATCCACTTCTTGCGAGTTGGTCTCCATGCACGACTCTCTAATGTTGTCAAAAGTTTGACTGACTGGCGAATTTGAGTTTTGAGATGAATTCTGAGAGATCACTGATTCATCATAATTCTGTTTGCTAGGTGCCAAGCCAATATTTATGCTTGTGCTTCTATTGGGATCCAGGTCATTTGCCATTTCTATTTCTTCACATCGAGGGTCACAGAGAGTCATGGAAATCTGGTCAGAAATTGTTTGATTCGACATCTCATCCCAGTTCAAGCATTCATCATCTGGCATAGAAACTGTCGGGTTGATCACTATGGACCCTCCCTCTTCCCACTGTGGCTCCTGATTTCTCTTAATGGGGAATCGAGCAGCCATTGACATAAATGCAGAGCTGAAATGTGAAAGAAGAGGTAATGTAAGCAATTCTCCCTTTCCATTTATAATCTGATATAGTTATTTAATGGGATTATCTTGAAAACCAGTCCTTACCTAGAAAGATGGTCTGAAACGTTCTGGGTCAGAAACACTCCAATTACTGAGTCCACAACTGATCCTTTCCATCTCGAGAAGCGCCTATCCCCTGCAAAAGGTGTCATGTAATGTAGGCAATGACAAAGATGTGAGGTACTAAGGTTGATTATTGGAAGTCTAACTGAAATCTTAAAAATACTGCAGGTATCAAAGCTTGATAGACTTCATTGATTGAAACTTATTTGAGTGCCGTCTTCTAGTCTAATATCCTTAAATTCGACGCAAGTATCCATCCACAAAGTACTTAATTTCCATCTATTTGGTAGCAGTACAGACCGACACTAAGGCATAGCATGTAAGTTGAGAAACGCCTTGATATGATTGGATTTCCACATGAACAAATAAAACCTGGGCGGACTGTTTTTGTTTACCTTGTACAAGATGCATTCTTGCTATAAATGAGTCTGTGCGCCCACGGAAGATCCTTCTTTCCTCTTCCCAATACGTTGCCTTTGCTTCATCCGTCCCATCAATGCCTTCACTGTCTATGCTTTTTAGTAGAAGATTAAACACCCTAAGTGTTTCGTCATCTATTTCAACCTTTGCCCTGGGTCGCTTTCTCTTCACCGGTTCAAATGGAACCATCCTATTATCCCCTTTGTAGATAACCATTGCCTTCTGCTTCTTTTTGCTTTTGCTGGCTCTGTAGGGAACTAGTTCTTTCGTCTGAGCAAAAGTAATGTTAGGGCTTTCCCTATTGATGTTAAGGTGCTTTAACTGCTCAGCTAACTCATCCACATTGAGCATCTGGTTGAATAGCATTTCCAGTGAACCTGCACCAAGCACGGGTATATAAGGAAAACAGTATAGAACTATATGAAACTATCTATTCAGTGACAGTTCTTGTTTCCAAAAGCTCACCTGAGAATTGGTTCTGATTAGATGAAACCATCCTCCTGTTTTGCCCTTTGTTACTAGTACTTGAGGATGCATAGCTACCTAGAGAACCCCGTTTACTATTCTTCTTTGGCTTCTTCAAGGTTGCTTGAGGACCTGCAATTAGAGCTCCCAAACGTACCTCGGGCCTGTTTAAGTTCTGAATGTGCTGGTTGTTATGTTGAGGGATAGTGACAAGAGAGCATAGATCGTGAACCCTGACAGGAGCTTTAGACCTTCTTTTAGTTGTCCTCTCAATCTCATTTAGTGGACTGAAATTGTGGAGTTTATATTGAAGAAAACCAGCAGCAGATTCTGCTTTTCCAACTGTCCCTGAAAGAAGTCCGTTTTCGTGAGAATGATCATAATAAGAAAAGTGATTGACTTTTCTGGCAGCTGGGGAGACAATGGGCATGCTAGACACTGCTGAATTTGGTGCCTTTTCGCTCCTCTTTTTCCGACACTCTGGCATTAGTGTCCAAGGCAATGTCTGGTATTGTGATAACCCATTGTGAAAATGCCTAACCGGACCAGAATTTGTGTTTGCTGACCCACTTGCTTCACCCAGCTCAGTCACAGTTCTGACTAAGCCACTGCAGCTTGATGCATTTGATAGTGAAATTGGTGTGCTGTGCTGCTGCAAGGACTGAGTGGCTAACATCTCTTTTCCTTTAGTGGTTGCTTTATTTCCTGCCTTGGGTACATAACTTTTAAGCAGTTCTTTGACAGAATTCTCGAAGTTGAATTGAGATCCTGTGGGAGAATTCTGCATCCTCACTTCAATTCCATCTCCAAAGGAAATGGATGCCGATTGGCTTTTTGCCACTGCCTCAGACACCAAACTAGGCGATGATGGCTTCTTTAGAGAGCTTTGACTTCCTGCTTCTTCTGAATTAAAATCTAACACCCTCCTACAGCTCTTTTTGGCAGGTTGAGGAGGACCTTGTGGATCTACAGATTCCCCCGTTGCTTCTCTAGGTGGAGTTGTACATCCTGACTTTCCTGCACAAACACAGTAAGAGCAAAATGGTCATGACTTTGGACTCCCCCTCAATTGTTTCTTGAACAAATTTATGATTTTCGCAGGCTATATTTTATCTTACCTTCAGAGATTGCTTCAGAAGCAGCTGATTCCCCAACTGTTCTTGTTGGACTATCTGCCGAGCCCTTCCGTGTGTATTTCCTCTTAATCCTTGGTGTGCCTTCTTTAGTCACCGGAGAAGTTGGTGCTGCGTCGGTCTTCATGTTCTTCCTCTTACCGTTCTGATTCGCATTGGACGTTGCAGACTCTTCCGTGTTCGGATTCTCTACCTCACCACCACCAGCAGCAGCTGGAGGACTCAGCTCTTTCTTCTTCTCGTACTTCCTCTTGGGCTGCTTAGGGGTCTGTGGCTTCGGAGCCTTGGGTATTTTGCCTTCCACCAGAACTTTGGGTACGTGCTTCTTCCTCTTGGGTTTCTTCCTCGGTGGTGTTTTGTTCAAGTCGATCGCATTGAAGTCCACCTTCTCCCTGTTCTGATTCTCCTGTGCTGTCAACCCAACCGTCGATGAAGAATCCGGAACTGGATCCGGAACCAGACCTACATTACTAGCCTCGGAAGTAAGATCGAGGTTCAGTGGACTGACAGCAGCTTGCTTGTCTGCTGTTCCTCTTCCTCCACAAGCCAAACCATGTCCACTCTCCACTCTCACACGACCTTTCTCCATTGCTGCAGGGTTTCCATCCATCATCTTCTGTGGCGTTACAGGAGCAAACATAAAGTTGAATCCCCCAAACGAGGACGAAGACTCCTCCGTGCTCTCATGAGGTAAATTGAGGTCGTACTGAGCAGGAACTGCAAAAAAAACATCCCAAACTTTTAACAACCCTTCTCAACCTTCATAAAGCTACACCAAAATCCACTGTTTAAGCAACAAAATCTGACACAACACATCTTACCTGGATCCTGAACTCCCAAATTGAAGTGTGTTGTATTCCATGCAGGAGATTGAGAAGCAGCAGGAGCTCCACCTCCCATCCCTTGAGCCGTGCCCTCCGCCAGAGCCAGCAGGCACTGGAAAGGAATATCCTTCCACCTGTCCAATTCAATCGCATTGCATGCCTCGAATTCCCCACCCGCCGGAGATTGAAACCCCGACAACCAGTCCGCGTGCTGCTGCTGCACTGGATTCCCCTGCACGTCCGTGTAGATCACCGACGGCGCCCGGAAAATCGGCCTCCCGTCGGAATCCATCACTCCTCCAAAAACCCCGTAAGTCTCTCTCTCTCTCTCTGAACTCTCACCCACTACTCGAAAATTAGTCTTCTTTCCGCCCCTTCCCTTCCCTGCCTGAATTCTGCTCCTTCCTTTGATGCCGCTCTTCTACCCCAGAGAGAAATTCATCCCCTCCTCCTTGTCCAATTCCAGAGGCATTTCTCTAGGTAGACGAATTCTAGATAGAAATGAAACACCAAAAAAAGAGTACCGAAAAATAATTCAGCAAAATAGGGATTTAGTGAAAATGAAAACCCCTCTTCCAAACCATAATCCCCCTTAGGAGCAATTTCCCTGGCAGATCTGTGGGGAAAAACAGAGAACTCTCTCTCTCTCTCTTAGTAGCTCTGAGGTAGAGCAAAGAGAGAAGAAAGGAGATTGTTTACCAAACCCAAAAAAAGAAAGCCGAGAGAATCGTTTATCAAGTGAAAAAAATTTAACCAGGATTGAATGGCAGTAATAATAAAAAAAAATTGGGCTGGAATGGAAAATCAACAATAACAAATTGGCACAAGGGAAAAAAAAACTGAAATCACCACGCGAAATGCCAATTTATTCTCTTTCTGTTGTTGCTTGGCCGAAACATAACAGAAACCAAATTAAACATTAAACAAAAAAAAAAGCTGAATTAATTAAAAAAGCTTCAAAGGGGCATTAACAAGGCGTAGAATCATATTATTCATTAAAAACGGAGTTTACCTCAACGATTGAGTCAATGCCGGAGATCTGTTTCAGTCCGTCCGAGAGAGAGAGAGAGAGAGAGAGAGAGTTAAGTGCAAGAGAGAGATGTTCTTCCTAGTGAGAGAGTGGAGAAAAACCAGGGAGGGATGGAGACTTTAGAGCGAGAAAGTTAGCTATGGAGAGACCAAACACGAGGGGACCAGCGGGTTTTATAATTTAACGCTACTACTGTAAACACTGACTGGCTCTCCCGGTAAAAAAAAAAAAGAAGAAAACAGCTTTGCCAATTACGATACAGTCTTTTATTCCTTTTCTTCTTTTCTTTTTCCCGCGGGAAAGTTAATCAGTTAGCGAGTTTAGCATGGTAGGTTGGCGGCATCGTCGTCGACGTATCTATGCATTACCACTAGGCCAATCGCGATATAATAATATTTTATTAATATTTGTACGTACTCTTCCCATGATATTGCTAGTGAACTTACCCTTTTCGCCTCCTAGGGTTTGTTACGATGAGTGGCTAGGATTTCATTTGGCAAGCCAATGACGAAATCAATATTAGTTTTGCCAAGGTATTAGGCGAAACAATAGGAACAATTTTTTGTTGCTTGGTAAGTGGTAAGTAGATTTACTCTAGTCATAATACTTTGTTAGGTAATGGATGAAAGGAAGGTTCATTTACGCTTTTTTAACGATAAACGACGCAAAAAAGGAGTGAGAACACGGGGTAATTTGTAAAAGGGACTGTTTCTGGTGTCAGTAGGTTTTGATAGAGTTTTGAAGGGTGGTATCTGAAACAATGGGCGCGTAAAAGCATTGATTATCACGCCGGGTAGAGTATCTGACCGAGGGAGTAAACACGTGAGCTGTCTCTATAACATTGAGATAGGATATACGTGGCGAAACGAGCCGAACATCTGGCGTGCATGCCGGCCGGTCTTCTTAGCTGTCTGAACTAGGGTTTTTAGTTCTTGCTTTCCGTTTTTCAACTTTCTTTTAAGTTGTTTCTTTTATTTCTTCTCTTTGACTACATGCATTCTCCCCGTGAAGTACGTTACATTTACCGGCTTTTGACCCACTTTTTTATTTACTTTGTCGGCTTTCGCCTCTTGCATTCGGCCAGGTTCGTAACAAATTTTGTTTGTTTTAGTATTTAACAATTAGTACAGATAACACTGACTTGGGGGTGTGCATGTCTGCCACGTCTTTTCGTCGAATTTTACCAGAGACTAATTCAATAGGGAAAAATTAGTACACGAAATACTTCATTTGCAAAATCTCATATGAATATATGCTCTTAAGAATATCATTTCAAGTAAAAGGAAAACACACTGAGTTTTAACCTAATGATGTTGTTAACCCCAAATTTATCATTTCGTTGGAATCAATCTGCATATATGTATGAATCTCTTACTAGTCGAAAAAATGGGAGCATCTTAAACTGTGACGACGTAGCAATATTGCTAATTTCAGTGATACAACAGTGTATGATTTATGGTTGCTGCAATGAGCGAATAATCATCTAAAATATGGTGACATTATTGATTTTCCCTTTATCTAATGACATGATTTAACTGAATTCAATTCCTTGAGTTATTATAATTGCGGAGGCCTTGACAGGAGATTATAAAACATGTATGTCTAGTTTGCTTCATGCAACTTTTTTAAAATAATTTTTACGAGTTGAAATGAGGCTAAGTACATGCATGATTGTCATTCTTATGAATAGGCCAACCAATTTATGGGTGTCATTTCTAAATCAATGCACTTAAAAGGAGATTTTAAATCTCAAATGAGAGTGGACTTAGTAAAAGATTTGAGAATCTCTAATTGCGATTTTGGTACCATAGTTTCTCTATGTGATCGAGAAAGAACTTTGAACTCATACATGTTTACTAATTGTCCATTATATAGTGATCTTAACTTAATAAGATATATATAATTCTGATGTAATTATTAGAGTTTCAATGAAAAAATTTGTATTTCGCAATATGTTAAACAAATATTGCAAGAATATATCATAATTAAAAAATATATTCAAGAATACTAAATATATCTAATGGATCTTATTTCGGTAGTCACGTGATCGTACTCATGCATAATTAATAAATTTATTTATTCATTTATACCGCACACCCTTTATCTATAGTCTGCCACTGGCGCTTGTGCGTTCATAGGCAACCTCTAGTACCGGTTGCCTTCGTCCATCTCTCGCTCCCTACGTCCTGGCCGAACGTCAGGAAAAGGGAGGGAAAGTTCGTTGGATTCAAATTCGAGACCTTTTTATTATAAATATTTAAATTAATTTAATAATTTAAATTGTTAGAAGAATATTAATTACGGATTATATATATATATTTTAATTTTAATATTAGAAATTTAGAGCTTAGAATTCAGTACATTAAAGTTATAATATGCTATTTAATTGTTCTATCTTGTCTAGCTCGTTTGTTCGGTCAAGCAAGTGGGTTGTGAGTTAATTGTTTTATTGCTTTAGTTTGGTTTAGTCCGGATATATAAAAAGTTATTATATTATTCATATATTTATTATTATATCAAATCTCATCTAACATATGATTAATAATATATAACATTACACTAAACTAACAATTTGTACTTGGATCCAACATATAACGAAAATTCACTCATATAACATAAATATTTCTATGTTCAACTTAGAATTTCAAAGGTTAAGCGAAAGAAAAAATCGGAAAATAAATACAATTTATAAAACAAAGCAAAACGACATCATATAACCTCCAACCCAGAAACCTTGCTACGAGTCAACCCACAGATATATCATGTATGAAGTCCGTTTTCCTCACTAAATCCTGATCAATTTAGGTTAATCTGCAAGTCCAGTCATGAGTTGACAACCCTTAGATTATTATATTAAACTTTCTTTTCCTGACTAAAAAATTAAATCTACAACCATCTTTGGAGATCTTGCAGTTCAATCTAGAATCATCTTCCAGTGGATCCCGATTAACAAACTGAAAGAAATGTAAATTTCAGATTACCAAAGTAACGCGACAATAAAATTAGGTGGCCTCTTATTTAAATGGTATATTATATCCGTGTAGTCCTTTGTTTCTTTCTAGCTTACTTGTTAATATCGCTATGGTTGCTTTTCCACGGTGGCTTCCTCCCTCGTGGAAAGGTGCAAACGGTTATTGTTGTTGATGTCAGTAATTGTGTGATTGTCTGCTCCTGAATATCTTATTCCGTACGAGCAAATAAGGGTTTGGTCTAGTAATATTATTATTGTTAATTAATATAAACATTTCAGTTTTGAATATTTTAAATAGCATCTAATAATAAAAATCAATTTATGGATAATAAAAATTATTCCATATAAACTGAATATATTTAACAACCAAATAACCGAATCATTTCCAAGTCAATTTAGCAAAGCAACGGAATGTAACTACTATAAATCTACTCTATCTTCTTAATCTTAGCATCTCTTAGTCTCTTTTTCAAAAAGATAGGAACTAGGCGTTCTTGCACAATTGAAGGTGTGAAGAAACAGTATGCAGTAAGCCATGGAGGCTTGAGTACATATAGGGTGGGTATCAATGTATCATCTAATACATAAGAATAAATTATGTCAATGCCACTATGCATTCATTAATAACGAAGTATGACCAAGGTTATGAGTTTGTCATCTTATGTGTTGAAATGAAAAACCAACAGATGTAATTATACTGTTGGAAATGTGCACGTGACCTCATATCTCGTTTCACAAATTGACATTACGAGTCTTCGTTCGTGAACAATGAAGTATGACCAGACTCGAGAACATAATATTCTAGGTCAAAACAAGTTCGTAGGATGCCTTTTTCTCGTATCCATGTCCCCTGGTCATTAGGCGAAACAGAGATGTAGAAAGGTTGAGAAAGATGAGGTTTCTTAGTTTGAATCAAAGCGAGCTTTCTGATAGTATTATTTAATTCCTATCTTTGTATTTACCGTTCTTAAGGCGCTAAAATCTGTAACGTCACAAAAGCGTTGAAATGTGCGCAACACGTCATCTAAAATATCTCAACATGTTTTGAAGAGTTTTATGTCCGAACAACTCGTATGGAATTTTATAGCAAGTACGGAAGACTTGTTAGTCAAATAAGCGGAGAATAACGAACTAAGTAAATACATGCAAACTCATAACCTGTGATTCATGTAGAGGTGTTTCTTGGTAACTATCATAACGGAAAGTTCTTGCAGGCATTTAACTTTACCTATGTTTTAGTCTCGTTTTCTAGTCGTTATATTATTTAATGGCGCATATATGATTCAAGCAAACTTTGAGACTTCTTATTCGTTTATTATTTAATAATACGCGTATTTTGTAATTAAAAAAAAGTTAATATTGAGGCTTTGCCAAGTGTGACGGCCAGGTGGTGGAAAGGGAATCTTATCCCTTTATTCAAGCCCTAATTAACACTCATGGCTCGTTCTGTTGAACTCTAGGCTCGATAGAAAGCGACAGATTGTGATATCAGTGCCCGTGCCCCGAGGTCCAGGCGCACCGCTACAACAAATGCCTGCCAGGAGATGGCGACACGTGTACCACATTGAGCCTTTTTTTCTCTTTTTTTTTTTGAATAAAGCCTTTTTTTCTCGTTGGTCAATTTTTTAATTTCGCTGGATCTGACGTGCCCCAGCTTTTGTCTGGTCGGCTGCCACTTGTTTTACACTTTTTACTGCTTCACTAGAGGCTAGTTAATTTTTGGCGTTTTAGGGAAATAATAAGTAGAAAATTATGTAGGTCTGAGTAAAAAAACAGGATTGTCAGCTTCGCCAATGTTAATTTTGATTCGATGTGTTTGATTTTGTTTGTCTGGTGGTAGTTGATCAGGTAATTGCTTCTCTTGAGACCCAAGGTTGCCAAATGATTGTGTTGGTATGGTTTATCAGTTGTATAATTAGTTTGTGTCTGTTTATATTTGTTTAATAAAATATGTAAAGTTGTATAATTAGTTTGTGTCTGTTTATATTTGTTTAATAAAATATGTAAAAATATGAAAAATCATAAATATCAAATGAATTTAAGTAGATATAAAATATATTTGAAGAAATTTATTTTCTGTTTATATTTGAATAAAATACAACATTTAAAGCAAAATAACAAATACTCTTTATTTTAGGAATTAATTTCACTAAAACAATGTCATTTTGTTTAGAGATTGAAAATTGATCATAGGTTGTCTCGGGTTCAATCGGTTAGCATTTGATTGACATGACAACCACATTTGAGATCGTCACTTTGGTATAAAAATAGATTTTGGCAGTTCACTCGTTTACTTTGAATTCTTGTGAGAATATGGTAGTTCCCCACCAAATTGACTTGTGGGTCGTTTGGATGGAGTATTTGTATGAGTTATTCTGAGTTATGAGCATTTTATTGAAATGAATTATTTGGGCAGTGAGTTATTTAAAAATAACGCATGCCCCGTGTTATTTCGAAATAACTTGTTTTACCGCTCTGTTTTTACCAAATACCACATGTCAAATACCACATTTGCATGGTTCAACCAAATGAGATACTTTATTCCAATTACCACTGAAATAACACTAAATACCACATTAACAATAAATGAGTTATTTGACTCTACAAATACCACATTGACAATTAACTCATCCAAACGACCCGTTGATGTTGGGCATGTTCTGTTAGTATTTGCCTATTTGGTATAAGATTTATCATTGAACCTCACAACAATTGGAGTTACTGAGGTCAAATGGTTCTTAACTTGTTATCAGAGCCTTATGTGACCAAGATGTCTTTTATTGAAACTTAGGTGCCCAAATTGTTAAACATATGGTATTTTCGATCTGTGCA